TTCATTTCTACATCCTTCCACTTTCGCACCTCATCCTGGATTCCCACTCCTGGGTCCCTCTCCCTACAAAGGCATCCAGGTCCGTGTGCTCAATACACAGCCTTGGACAGGAATGAAGCCCCAACATAGGCAGGGGTGCTCTGTGCACTTTTAATGAACCAACATGCAATCACGCCCTAGAACTTGCTCTTCTCTGCCCTCCCCCACCTGCCTTCCTCCTTCATCACTGTGAAATCTGCGCAGACGGGGCCGGTAATCCGATGCGCGGCCTCTCACGGCTCCAGGGGGCTCCTCCTCATTTCGCTCCTTTGTTCCCCAGGGGTGGAACCCGGGCTTGCCTGCAGCTGCCCACTACTGCCGAGGACACTGCAATGTCTCTGCCTGTTCTGGGCCCCTTAGGGACTGGGGAGAGAGGGCTGGATCAGAGGGTGCCTGTTGACTTCATTCCCCCAAGCGGTCCTGATGGCTCTCCATAAAGGCTGCACCAGTCCCCCCACCCCACTCCAAGGTGAGGAACCCCATTTCCTCACATCTTCACCAACAAATGGCATTTACCCAACTTCCTAACTGTTGCCAGGCCGTTGGGGGTTGTGCTGTTTCTCACGGTCTTTGATTGGCGTGTCTCTCATCACTAGCGTGCCCGAGTGTCTCCTCAAGAGCTTGGCAGCCCTCTGGGCTTCCTTTCGTGTGACCGGCCTGCTCCACCCTGTGCCTAGCTCTCCAGGGGGTACGCCGGCTCCTTCCCCCCCACACCCCGTGTTTCCTAGGGTTTTCATCAGGTTTTAGGGTCAGAACCATTGTCTCTTCAGGGTGCCCTTGTTCATTTCTGCTCTGAACACTATTTGCATTTCATACTTCAATGCCCAGGAGCTAAGTCTGTTTTCCTTAATTCCAAGTTCTCTCATAGACAAGGGCCTGAGAATTTTCCCCACAGACCACCTACGCCTTCCAGGTACTCAGCACGTTCACTATTCCAATGCCAGAGAACACGTCTTAAAATTTTGATGTCATTTTGTTTTCATTCCAATATAGTTAACAGGGTTATATTTAGTTTCAGGTGAACAATACAGTGATTCAACACTTCCTTACATCACCTGGTGCTCGTCACAAGTGCCCTCCTTAATCCCCAGCGCCTGTTTCCCCCCCTCCCCTCTGGTCACCAGCAGTGTGTTCTCTATAGTGAAGTGTCTGTTTCTTGGTTTGCCTCTCTTTTCTCCCCTTTTGCTCATTTGTTTTGTTTCTTAAATTTCACATCTGAGTGAAATTATATGGTATTTGTCTTTCTCTGACTGACATTTTGCTTTGCATTATACTCTCTAGCTCCATCCATGTCAGTGCAAAATGGCAAGAGCTCATTCTTTTTTACGGCCGAATAATATTCCGTTATATACATACACCACATCTTCTTTATCTATTCATCTATCCATGGACACTTGGGCTGCTTCCACAGTCTGGCTATAGTAAAGAATGCTGCTACAAACATAGGGGTGCATGTATCCCTTTGAATTAATGCTTTTTTTTTATTTTGGGGGTAAATACCCCGTAAGGTGATTCCTGGATCATAGGGTAGTTGTATTTTTAACTTTTTGAGGGACTTCCATATCGTTTTCGACAGTGGCTGCACCAGTGTGCTTTCCCACCAACAGTGCAAGAGGGTCTTTTTCCTCCACACTCTTGCCAAAACATGTTTCTTGTGTTGAGTTTAGCCATTCTGCCAGGTGTGAGGTGATACCTCGTTGTAGTTTTGATTTGCACTTCCCTGATGATGAATGATGTTGAGCATCTTTTCACATGTCTGCTTCCAATGCCAGACAATATTTTATGAGCGTGAACATCCACTGTGTGCTTGGCACTATGCAAGCATCATCTCCCTGAATCCCCATAACAACTCTGGGAGGGGGCCTTTTATCATGCTTGAGTGACAGATGTGAAGAAAGGCACAAAGGAGTTTAGTAAATGCCCAAAGTCATATAACTTGTAAAAGTGACCCAGTCAGGATGCTATCTATAGCTGAGATTCCTTCTAGTGTATCTCAAATAATGCCGATTTCAAATAGCTGCTATGTTCTAAGCAGCTCCCTATCATTCATGCCTTCTCATTCCTAAATATTGAAATTTACTGAAAAAAGTCAACCCTGGTGGTACCTTTGTACCTTCCCAGTCCCTAGTGTTTGAAAGGGTAGGGGCAAGTGGAGGCAGGGGGCTTGGTGGCTGAGCTCACCCGTCTGAGTTCCCAGGGAACTATCTATCCCCAATGTTCATATTCCTTACAGGTATTTAATGAGCATTGACTGTGTTCGGCAATCTTGGTGATGAGCAAAAAGAGTATCTGATACTTGGAGAGACAGAGATAATTGCTCACACTTATGGGAATATTATTCTTCATGGAGAGACAAGTTCTGGAGGAAGTAACGGTTCCATGAGGGTTTAAAAGAGAAGGCCCTGTCTGATACTGGAGGTGGGGTCCACGAAAGGATGGCTTCTCGTAAGAAGTGACGTTAGGGCTGATAAAGAAGAATGGGAGGGAGATAACTAGGAGAAGAAGGGGAAGATCTTCTCAGGCAGAGGGAATAGTGCAAAGGCCCTGAGGCAGAGAAACATTGAGAGGAACCAGGGTGGCTGAAGGGGAAGGCAGGAGCTAAATGGGTTAAGAGAAAGTTGTGGATCCCCAAAGACCCAGACCAGACTGGTCTTCCCAGGCTGGATCTTCAACCTGGAATGCCAGGACACTGGGTATATATGAAGGCTTCTCAAGCCATGGGAGACCCTCGATTTACACATGTCCTCTATTTTAAAAATGATCTGGCTGAGATGGACCCGGGGTAGAGACGTGAGGTTGCTCCTTTACCACCTCCCCTTTCAATAATCTCCTGTCTCCCACTGGTCAGAGAAGACGTTCACCTCTCATCCAACCTGATTCTTACCACCTTACTGTGTTATATTGTCCTGAGGCATAAAAACACCCAGAGGCAATGTTAGTGCCTGTTTTTGCCAAAAAATCCTCCCCCCATCCATCTCATTCAGTCATGCACTTCTAATACAATTTTTCTTATGTTTAATAATTATCAAAATTCATATGTGTATGATGCCTTTATCATTTATATGCTACTAATGATTGTTATAATAACACGATCATAAAGGGAATTTTAAAATTCACCTGTATTGCGCTGCTACCAGAATGTGTAGGCACCCCAAGAACAGTGATTTTGCCTGCTTTGACCATTCCTGTCTCCCCAGCATCAACCATTGTGCCTGGCATGTAGTAAGCACTCAATAAATCCTTATCAGGTGAATGAATGGTGGACAAGTCAAGCTCTCACTTTGCACAGAGCACTGTGTTAGGGGATTCCCACTTCATCTTCACTACAACCCTGCAGTCATTCCAATTAGTATCCCCATGTCAGAGATGGGGAAACTAAGGCACAGAGAGGCTATGTAATTTGCCCAAGGTCACCTACCAAGGAAGTAGCAGACTGGGACCCAGGCATCCTGACCAGAACCCTTAACCATGACCCGTTTCTCCCCAAGGGAGCATGGGGCAGAGTCTGTGTCTTTGGGTTCTGAAACTCCAGGCATGTTGGGGCACTCCCTGAGTGTGATACCCGCCACAGCCTTCTCCATGACTCCCTGCCATCTACTCTCTCCTCCTAAGTGGTTTTCCTTCTCTCCGTGTTTAATATTTCAGTTGACACATCCTAGGACATCCCGGAGTCCCCACGTTACTGACCTACTTACTTATCCAGCCATCTTTCTCATACACCAGGGGCAGCATGGGGGTGTATGGAAGGAGGGAGGTGAGAGAGTGGGGAGCACCACGCATCCCCCTCTGCTGCAAGCAGCCTCCAGCTGACAATAGGCCAACATTAGTAAAACAAGGCTGGGCTCCATGGCTAGGAGACTGCAGCGGGGTAACATTTATTCTATGTGGCTTTCCAAGAAACTAGCTCTGGTTCCTTCCACCCTCCAGAAGGGTCTCCAAAGTCCAGCTGTGTAAGGACATCTGTTTGTTTCTGTTCTGCTTATAAAACGGAGGGACTTGGAAATCAAAGGTGGGCCCTTACCCCTTGGGAGTGAGGATTACGGCTCCTGATCACCTACAAACAGGCCTGTCTTAACCTGACCCCCTCCCCCCACTCGGCCTCGCACAAAGACTAGAGGACTACAGCATACAGGGTCTGGACCAGCTGCCTCCCCAGTCCTTTTGCTAAGATGCCAGGTACCTACCTGGTCTCTAGCGTCCCCTGTCCAGGGTGACGTACTCCTGCTGGCCCCAGAGGCCCAGGACCCTGCTCCTACTTTCTGAGTCCTAGGCTCCAGGGCTGGGGTCTTCAGGTCCCCTTTCTCACTGGGGGGTGACACCCAGAGGTGTCCCCTTTCCCCCTGTTTCCCCATCCCAACCTGAGGGGACCCAAGGACCTGCCCGTCAAAGACTCCAAGTGGCACCCTTCATCATGCTCCAGAGGCGGGGAGAGGAGAGGAATGGTGGGGGTGCTGAGTGGCTTCCCCTCGAAAGAGATCTGTCCCTGTCTCCCAACACCCTATGACCCCTTTCCCTGGCACTCTCATCCAGTAGCCTTCATGTCCTCACGGCCAGTCTCAGGGGCGGGGAGGCTCAAAGAGCAGCTGCAGCCCCTACCTGGGGCCAGGTGAAAGCACTAATCCCGGACTCCTCCTCTTGGCCCTGACCTTAACTCCAGGACCCTTGACCTCTCGCTCTGGGGCCCCTGACTTCTTCCCTCGGCGTCCCAGCCGCGTCCCCCGGGCGGCTTGGGATGGGGCACCGTCGGGTCCGGACGGAGAGCCAGGGAGGCCGGCGCAGGTCTGGGGAGAGGGAGGGCTGAGGCCGGGCTGGAAGGTGGCGCCCTCCCGCCCCCGCCGGCCGTGACGTCAGAGCCGGACCGGGTAAAGTGAGCGGCGGCGGCGGCTGGGGGGACGCTGGGGTGGAGGCTGCGACCCGGCGCGGACGGACGGAGCCCACGGTGTAGGGCAGGGGGCCGCAGGCGACCCCGAGGTAACGGGGGAAGGCGGGGAGACGGCGCGGGGACAGCGGGGTCCGGCGGGGAGCGGGGAAGAACGCCAGCGCCGCGCGTGGGTCTCCGGGGTGGCCGGGGCGCCGGACGCACGGGGCGCGGGGTCCCGCGGCACCTTCCGAGCGCTCGGTGGGAGGAGGGGCACCTCGGGGGCGGCGGAGAGCGGGACGGCACCCCGCGGGCCCCAGGTTCGGGCCCCGACGGCGCTGGCGGGCGGCACTGGCCCGGAGCGCAGGTGCCCCGAGGCCGCCCCCGCCGCGGGTGAGCCGAGGGTGGGACGCTGGCGCCCGGCCCGTGCGCTCGGCTCCCGGACCTCTCCTCCTGCCCGGGCGGGGTCCGAGCGTTGCGGGTGCGGGGAGTCTCGCGCCCCCCCACCGCGCGCCGCGCCCACAGCCCAGCCGCCGAGCCATGGCCCTGAGCGAGCTGGCGCTGCTCCGCTGGCTGCTAGAGAGCCGCCACTCGCGGAAGCTCATCCTGTTCATCGTGTTCCTGGCGCTGCTGCTGGACAACATGCTGCTCACCGTCGTGGGTACGTACGGACCGGGCGGTCCCCAGCCCCGGGGACCCCTTCCCTAGGTGCTTCCCCCCCCCCCACCCCGCGCACCTGAGCGCGCCCTGGGTAAGTTGGAGAACACATTTTGCAAAAACTTCTCCTTCCCACTTCTTCCATCCAGCCCGCATCCCCATCCCCAAGTCTGCCGCACTGGGCTAGTTGCAGTCTCGTTTTGTGGCTTCGTTTTCCTGCTGGTCGGGTCAAAAAATGTGTCATCTGTTAAGAACCAGAACTTCTGTTTCCTCCTGATAATTTCCTGCTTCCCCCTGCCTACTTTGACCGCGATGAAAAAGATTTCTACTAAGAACCAGCAATTCCCCAGGGTTCAAAATAATGTTACAATAATTATTATGCCAACCAGCAAGGTGGGTTAACGATTCGGCTTCACATTTAAAGGAACAAGTCAACATCCCTCCCTGCAAAAAAAGGAAGTGACATGTAAATATATTGTATCAGTGCATGGCTGGAGATGGAAACGTTTCAGGATCTTTTCAAGAGCAATTTAAACTGTTGGTTTTAGTCTTTTCCCTATAATGGATTTTTGAAAAACAATTAAAACCCAGGTCTCTTAATTAGCCCCATTAATAGCATTTGGTATGCTTTTCCTTAATGTCTAAATATCTAATGAATATATATATTTTTTAATTCGGACTCTCAGGGGTGGGTTATGGCCCTCCTCTCCATTTACGGGTTCTCACCTCCAGGATTACCAGAGTAGTGGGGCTCATCGGAGTTCAGTAACAAGGACCTCACTTCTCCTTTGTGTTGAATGCTCTGTTGTCACACACATGCCTAGAGCTGGCTTTTACATTAGTTTTTCTTTGCCTTTATAGAAGTCTTAGGAATTTTTACATTTTCCACGTTGTATGAAAAACTATGGACTCCCACTCAAGTAATAGAAAGATGAAGTGGGCCTGTTGCAGAATTTCCAAATTATTACTTCCTGTGGTTTATCTTCCCCTAAGATACATAATGAAATTTCGATTTCTATTTCTTGGATTCATTCACTGAAAGGTCTTTCTGAGCCTCTCTCTGAGGAGGTCTTGTTGACCCCAGGTCAGCCCTGAACAGACTTCAGACCCCATTTTGCTTTCCTAACCAATTCCTGGGAGGGAACCCCATAAATGAACAACCCCACAGAGGCCCAGAACCCCAGGCAGGTCCCTTCTGCACAGAGCAGACGGACTTCTCGCAGCCTCCTGGGGCTCAGCATCCTATAAGATTCCATCTATGTTTTTGTCCGCAGTCCCCATCATCCCGAGCTACTTGTACAGCATTAATCACGAGAAGAACGCCACCGAAATCCAGACTGCCAGGCCAGGGCTCACAGCCTCTACCTCAGACAGCTTCCAGAGCATCTTCTCTTATTATGACAACGCCACTATGGTCACGGGCAACAGCACCCGAGCCCTTCACGGGGGGCTGCTGCAGCCGGCCACCACACAGCGCGCGGTGACAAACACCTCCACGGTGCCTTCTGACTGTCCCAGTGAGGACAAGGACCTCCTGAATGAGAACGTGCAAGTTGGCTTGCTGTTTGCCTCTAAAGCTACCGTCCAGCTCCTCACCAACCCCTTCATAGGAATGCTGACCAACAGGTAGGTTCTGTTATTTTGGCTAAGGAGGGTTTTTGTTTGTTTGTTTGTTTTTTAAAAAAGGTTTTATTTGAGAGTGAAAGAGAGTGCACGTGCGCGCACGTGTGGGGAGGAGCAGAGGGGGACCTGGGAGAAAGATTCTGAAGCCGACCGCACACTGAGTGCAGAGCCCCACAAGGGGCTCGATCCCACGACCCTGAGATCATGACCTGAGCCCAAACCAAGAGCTGGAGGCTTAACCGACTGAGCCCCTCCCGGGCACCCCTGGCCAAGGGGTTTCATATTTATATTGTTCCCAGGTTATTTCTCCCTGGGATTCTGTTTCTTGTTCATTCATCAGAAGGTGGAAAACCAGTGGTGGGTGAGCTGGGGGAGAACCCTGATTTCCTCCTTTTGTTTCTTTCCTTAATCGCGATTTTGCATTTGTTCAGCCTTTCTGTTGCCCCCTCTATTGCTTAGGAAGTAAGACACTATTGAAAGAGAAGAAAGGGGCCCTCCCCAAGTGGGAGAACTCTGATTCTGTCTAAATGCCGGATTTCATTAGTGCATTTGTCAGACTCGCCCTTGGGCAGCGAGAAGTCTGCAGCGACATGGCATCATCATTGGATTCTGTCTGTCATACAGCTTTGTCTTGTCTTCTACCCACTTCCTAAAGAGAGCCAGGGTGGTTTGCTTTCCAGCTGGCAGGGTGAAGGCTCAAGATGGCGGTGGGGGGGCGGGGGGTGCGGGGACCAGTGGAGAAAGACCAGTAGTCCTGCCTCATCGATGGAATCTTAGCGGATGCCGAGGCCATGGGCAGTGTAAGCGGCTCCCTGGCCAGTTACTGAGCTGGGTCCACGTGCACAAAGAGAAAAGTGAGGCTGTTTTCTGGATAAGTCAAACCAGCCAACAATGCCCCAGATGATGCCCCAAGCTAGCTTTATGTTAATCTGGATGTTCTGGATGTTTTGTTTTGTTTTGTTTTGGACCCCTCCTAATTTTGAATAATTGTTCCCATCTCTACTGTCAGTGGCTATCCGGCTAGTATTCTACAGCTCTGGTGGCCCAGCTCTGCCTCATGCATCAGGGCCTCAATGCGGAGGCTGGGAGGCTGGCTGAGAAGAGAGAGAGGCAGCTCCTGCAGGCGTCAGCTGCAAAGAGGGGGAGATGGTACAGTGTGAGTGGGGGGGGCGGCGGATAGCCATACACACACCGTGGCCCTCAAGACAGAAAAGTGGTAGAGAGGGGAGTGCCTGGAGTCCTACTTGTGAGCCAGGTGCAGACACAGGAGCGAAGACCAAGATTACAGCTGGAAAGGAGGCCATGGGTGGGGGGGCAGGGCTCTGAATAAGGAAGGCAGGGCAAGCAGCCGGGCCAGGGCAAGGCTGGAAGAGGACCTGGGTACCAGGCTGGGAGAGGAAGGGGGTTTTGTTGGAGTGAGGGGGCACTTGGGAGCCACTAGATGTTCCAAAGCCAAGTTGAAGAGTCCAGGAGCTAAGCACAATTTTCGGTAGGTCAGCCTGGCACCCTGTGTAGTCTGGGAGCAGGGATATCTTTAGGTTCACCCGGGTTTTGGCCTGTGGTAGGGGAAGCTGGCCTGGCTACGTTACTCGCAGGGCCCTTTGTTCAAATATTATTGAGCATTTCAAGAATGTAACAATAGATTATTAAAGCAAGCACAGGGCCCTCCTGAGAGTGGGGCTGGCTCTGGGGCAGGGAAGAGGAGGTGTGTTGAGTGGGGGGCCCCAGGGTGGTGGCAGAGGCTCAGAGGTGGATCTGGCCCTTCCCCCCACCGGGCAGGCCTGAGACGCACACACAGGTTGCTGGTCACGTACCCGTGGCCACTTGGATGGAAGCACGTTTTAAGCGTTTGCACTCTGACTCTCTGGACTGGGTAGCGGTGCCCCTGAATAAATTTTTAACAATCCTAAGCCCCGTCCAGCAGCCCCCCCACCCCGCCCAGTCTGTGTCAAGCAATATTACGAAGCTGCCAGGTTAAAATATGCTGAGCAAATGAGCCTCGCAAGGACGGACTGACTGGGAGCCCAACTCGAAGCACGGTTATCAAGATGCCATTTAGAGGTTTCGCTCTTCTTCAGGGAGAAAACCAAATAGCCATCGAAGGGTTGTTTTTCTCTGCTTCTAAGAGTGCCTCTTAAACTGCATCTGGTGTAATTACAGAAAATGTCTCCGGGTTTTGTATTCTGAGAAAGCAAACAGCTCAAAGGCTATATGAGGAAAATTGAAGACATTACCGTAATAATGCCTTGCCAATCACTGGGGCACGAATCCTCCTAGCTGAGGAGTGCAATACAGCACTCAGAAACTTGGCTGAAATGGTGTGAGTGTTCCAGTCTTCCAAATGCAAATGGCAAATGAAAAGTTTTTTTAAAAAATCCTATTCTTGTTTTTAATGTTTTGCTTACACCCTGGGGAGGAAGCTTGTTCAAAGCCGGTGAGACCTTTTCCCCTATTAAATACTCCAAAGGCTTTGATACTGTAGCCACACTCAAGGCTCCCGTTTGGGGCTCAAAAAAAAAAAAAAAAAAAAAGTCTTCCAAGAGAAACCTAATTTTGTTCTGTGACCTGTGAAATTCGGTCTCTTCTTGCGATGAGTTAATCCACTTTGCAATTTAGAGCAAAATTGTAATCCCTGACTGGTTCCCCCAGCCACCCAGCAAATTTCAAAAGCCTCTCTATTGCTGCCTTGTAATATGTAAATGCAAACAAGTTGTAACATTGATGTAGCACGAACTCTGTTGTCCCTCCAAAATGATCCTGATTTTTGTATATTCAATATTTTCCAAGCCCAGTAGACGTGAATTTTGGGGATTTGCGGCGTTTCTGAGCACCCCATAGCTCTTCTCAGAGACGTGATCTATTCCACTCTCCTTTACAGGACTTTCCCTTGTGAGCCCCTGCAGTTAGTCTTTTGATGTAATTTGTGCCAATTGCATCCTCAATTATGAACAAGATGTGTGACTCACATTTTCAGCGTCGTAAACAAGTGTGTTTAAAACAGCATTTTGCAGTTGGTTAATACGTTTCTGATTAAAGAAAGTGATTAAAAGCATGGAGCATCAGAGCTGGAAGAGACTTTAGCAAGGGTTTGGGGCCAGTCCTACCATTTTATAGGCAAAGGAGTTTGTCACTCAGGAAGAGAAAGCATCTGCCCCGGGCAGCGGCAGGGCCAGAGCCAGTGACCAGACTCTCTGTCTGGGTGTCTTCCTCCCTTCCTGTTCTCTCCACCTGCTTCGTGATTTATAGTTTTTACAGTTCACTACTCAGAATCAACAGCGCAGGTCAAAATCTGTCCTTCTTGCATCTGCTTGGGCTCTAATTGTACCAGGCTGAGCTAGTGAAAGTGAAAGCCCAAACAGTTGTTGATTGCTATTCTTTTTTTTTTTTTGAGATCTATTTATTAGTGAGCATGTGCGCACGAGCTGGAGGAGGAGTAGAGGGAGAGAGAATCTCCAGCAGATTCCCTGCCCCGAGCACGGAGCCGGACCTGGGACTCGATCTCACGACCTGAGCTGAAATCAAGAGTCAGACACTTGACCAGCAGAGCCACCCAGGCACCCCCCAATTGCTACTTTTTAATCATTGGGTAGGGAGTTTAGAAAAAAACCTGTGTGGTTTTTTTTGGACATGGACCCTCCCTCACCTCCCCAGCTCTGGAAAAATATCTTTTTCTTGCTCTTGGTGTAATCTGGCCCTGCTTGCTTCTGACAGTGGGGAAAAGAAAGGCCTCCTACATCCCCCAAAACTGGGGAAGCTATGGAGAGACTGGTTGGAGCCCCTCCTTTCTAGAGCCTTTTGCTGTAAGTGGGACCCACTCATCACATGCGTCATGTCATGGCTTGGACCCTCCTATTCATGGTCAAGGTGCTGCTGCCTGAGTGACTCTTACGGGTGGGTGATCCTAGAGGCGGGCTGCCGGTCTGTTGTTCTAAATATTGGATAAGCGCTCTCCTGCCAAACCCTGAGAGTAAAAAATGACAATTCCTGAGAAATGCTTAATTGCCCATTGCGCTGCTGATATACAAGTTTTATTCCTGTTTGATTTCATCTTCAGGTGCTACATTTTTACTGGAAAACAGGTGCCCAGAGAGGGAGTGAAGGACTTTTGATTTTGCTAAGAGTGGTGCTCGCATATCCAGCAGCACACTTTCCAAAGCCCGCGGGTGCCTTGATTTTTATCTTTGAGGCTCGTGTGACTTCTAATTCGTTTATTCATCTCACGATTGCAGCTGTGCATCAAAGGGAGGGGGTAGAAGGAATTCGACTAACAGCATCTGTTACCGTCTACCCCCGTGAGTGAATTTGAGGCATATGTAGACCTAACGGGAATGTTCCAGGCAGACAAACACTGTAAAAGCACCTTTCTGTTTCTCTCCCTAAATCAGGTTAAGAACGTGGCATCATGGTCTTCACTTGCTTACTCTGGGGCTTCCGTAGTTGTTGCATCTTGAGAACCAAGAGCTGTTCCAGATGCACTGGATGGCTGGGGAAAGAGTTAACTCGGGGTGCTGGGGGACAGCTCCCTCGGCTTCCTCACTCGTTGGCGGCTCCCTGGTCTGCTTTTTATCAAGCCAGCATCAGTGGCTTAATATATTTCCATAGTTACCTCGTATATTTGAAAGCCAGTTATTTGTCCTCACAAATCTTAGCCCACATCTGAATGACAAGAAGGAAGCCGCAGGGCATGGAGTCTCTACAGAATGCACGGCGGTAATTTTTTTTCCTTTGCTTCAGCCAGTTGATCCGAAGTAGGCTCTGTGGGAATAAGCAGTGACCTTTTCAGTTCTTCCGCGGACAGGGAAACCAGCTCTTCTGGAAAGGGATTTCCCGTCCTAGATGTTGTTAGGATGGTGTGACACAGTCTTTGCCTCTGAACTGGAGAGAAGCTGGCAGTAGAGTGGGGTGTTTCCCACGGGGCCAAGCCCCCACCTGAGCTGTGTGGCAGGGACAGGGGTCACCCCCATCCACAAAAGCATGAAGTCCACGGCTCGCGTAACTCCCTGCGTGCATCTGATAGCTGAACAAGACAGACCTAGGGACTAAACCTAAGAATTTTGTTTTGTCTACGAAATGATGGACAGTCAACTCCCTAGTAGTACGTTTTAGCAAACGTTAGGCATCATTCATTACTGATATCTCTTACTGCACCACCTTTCAGAAGATCATTGAAAAGGGATATGCCTCCTCTTATCTCATCTGATGATCGTTTGTACCCTTCTGGATCCCCTACTTTGTGTCAGGCAGAGGGAGCCTGAGTTTTAACAGCCCTGAGAATGGGGCATGCATTGGTCTCTATGGCAGAGATAAGCTAGTTCTGTTAAAGAAAAAAGTATTGATTTTCAGTGATGATTTAGGGGCTATGGAGTTTCTCCATTGGTGTGTAGGTATATATAATGAGCATAACTTTTATTGCTTTGCACTTTTTTCCTGGGGATTCAATATATGACTTTTAGTCTTATTTCAATTGGATTAACTGCTCCCTGATGCTCTACAGAGGACCACTGTGGGCTGGGATGACGCATAAGGGAATGGTAATGGGATATTTTGCTAAAGGTTTGCTCTATCAGATCTAGCTCTGCTTAGCACTGAGACTAGAGGCTGACTCAGATCTTCATGACTAATGTCACTTGAGTCTTTGTCCATTTAGGAGACATTGTGGGGAAGGAGAAAGGACATTGGTGATCTGCCCATCACTCAGTGACCCTGGGGCATGGGACAACTTTCCTTCGGAGGTGGGTGTTCGGGGGGTGGGGAGGGGTAGAAGAATTTGAGGGTGGAGGAGTCCAGGATCTGCCCGTTGTGCCCTGCTGCCTTGGGACTGAGCTCTGGGGAAAAGATGCTGCCCAGCACTTTCCACTGGGCAGCCCGCTCAGCAGCCTGGCCGGCAATGAAATTATAGGGGGCATGTGTGTCTGGTAACAGGAAGGAAGCCATGTGAGCCCAGGGGTATCCGGAGTGGTTGGCTCACTCTGCCACCAGGGGTGAGCCACTCTCTCTCTCTTTTTTTTTTTTTTTTTAAAGATTTTTATTTATTTTTTGGCAGAGAGACAGCCAGAGAGGGAACATAAGGCGGGGAGGTGGGGGAGAGGGAGAAGCAGGCTCCCCGCTGAGCAGGGAGCCCGATGCGGGGCTCGATCCCAGGACCCCGGGATCATGACCTGAGCCGAAGGCAGACACCCAACGACTGAGCCACCCAGGCGCCCCGAGCCACTCTAGCTTTGAACCTCCACGATCTCATCTAGCATGAGGGTTGGACTGGCCAACCTTTGCGTTTCCTTCCAGTTTGGCCACATGGTTATTCCCTAAGTGCTTATTAAAATCCCAAAGGGATTTAAAACAGCCCATAGCTGCAGTGGTTCTAAAGCAAACACAGCACCTGGGCTTGGTAACAAGAATCCTGTGTGAGCATGTATCCCTCTGGGCACAGAGCTACCTGCTGCTAACCCGGAGACCATCCGTTCTACCCACGCGGTGTGACCCTGTGTTCCCGTATTGGGCATCCCCACCCATGTGTATGCCAGCAGGACCGGACACACCCTAGGCACTCAAAATAGGCCTGTTATCCTGAATTTGGGACAAGTTACTTAAATTCCCTGGCCCTAAAATGGAGTCGTCTGAAAAATGAGGGTCCTGCCAGCTACCTCAAGGAGCTGCGGTGAGAATCACAAGGGACCCCCTTGCTAGTTTCCTACTTATGGTCTTGGGGAATGCCAGAACCTCCTGGTAAGAAGAAGCTACTCGAGATGTGTCCTGCCAGGTGGCCCTGGCCAGTTATCAGGGCTGCAGACTGAGCATCGTTGCGCTGGTATTTCCGCCAGCTTCGACAAGTACGTTGTTTTCCAAGGAGTGTGTTGAAAGGGGGTGAGAAGCCCCTGTCTATTCTAGGGCAGCTACAAGCATTGCCATATTCCATTCTTCCCCCAAGATGTGCAGGAGTTGCTGGGGAAAAATGAACTGCCTGTGAGTTCTCCTTTCTGAGCCTCCTGGAAGTTTCTTTATTCAGTATCTGGCAGTGCCGTGTAGGGCCTGGGGTTGCGAATGGGGTTCTTTTGCCTAAGTGAGGAAAGCACGCAGAGCAGTCGGCTCCAGGCTAGCTGAGGTTAGAGACGCTGCCATTTGACGCCCATCGGAGCTGCTGTGTTGAACCCTGGCATCTTTCCTGGTTTGTCTGATTGGCTCCGAGCCCCGCCTGGTGAATTAATAAACTCATCTCTGGTCATAGTAGGGGAATTTTTGCATGGGACGGAGGGCTGTCTGGGAATCTGACATGATTTTGCGATGTTATGTGTATTTTTGCTAGTTTCTGGAGCACATGAAGCAGTTTTAAAAAAAAAAGGGGGGGGGGAGTATGACCAGGAACTTTTGGAAAGATTTTATTTAAAGCCACATGTCCTTTGGCTTCCCGGGGAGGTGGTGAAGTTTGCAGGGAAAAGCCCTAGACTGGGCAGGATAGCCCTGAGTGAAATTAGCCCCAGGACCTTTGACAAGTCACTTTTTTTTTTTTTTTTAAAGATTTTATTTATTTATTTGAGAGAGAGAATGAGAGATAGAAAGCACGAGAGGGAAGAGGGTCAGAGGGAGAAGCAGACTCCCTGTTGAGCAGGAAGCCCGATGCGGGACTCGATCCTGGGACTCCAGGATCATGACCTGAGCCGAAGGCAGTCGCTTAACCAACTGAGCCACCCAGGCGCCCTTGACAAGTCACTTTTTTGCACCTCTGTCTCCTCACCTGTGAGATGGGGAGGTGGTCATTTGTCCTTACCAAATCATCGAGCTGGTGGGCATAAGGGCCTGGAGAATTGAATGTAACTTTAAATGAAGCTATTGTTATCCTGATTTTTTTTTAGTCAAGCCTGGACGAGAAGAGCCCTTCCAGGCTGAGTAACTGGGGACTCAGGACTCCTTGGTCCTTACTTGGTTCCTGTCCAGGAGCCAGTGGATCTAGGGCTGGGAGGAAACAAAGCCTGGAGATGTTCTGGGCTGTTCTGCTACAGGGCGGCCACTCAGCTGGTGTTGAACCCCCTCCCGGGGCAGCAGGGCCCAGGAAGCTGCCTTCACTCTCCTGTCCCATCCATGTGGCAGGAGCCAAGTGGTCTGCTTACCTGCAGGCACAGAGATGAAAGAAGAGAATGGGGGAGGAAACACTTTCTGAAGCCTCTGCTATGTCCCATGGTAGCAGTTGATCATCCACATCTCATTCTGTCGTCCCTCCCGTGCTGGCAGGCGGGTGGTGGCTTGCTCGGCTCCCATCGGAGGGCTGGATGTGATACCTGAAGACCAGGGTCTTCCCACCGCCCCCGTCCACCCGGGGCAGAGCCCTGTATGGACCGTGGTCTTTCCGAGCAATCAGGATGTGGAATTTTTGCACAGAAAACGAGGCCGATTTTTCTAGGCTGGCCCCGTTGAGGTCAATATGAAGATAGACTTGAGTATTTTCTTGTATCCCCAGTGCCTCTCAAATGTGGTCCCATTGTCTCTGTTGCCAGTTGAATCACTTGATGACCTTTTACTGGAATCGTTGCTTGCCATTGTCCCTTTGGAGAAGCTCTAGCGAAGACAGTAATTAAAGAATTAAAAAAAAAAAAAATAAAGATGGGAACCGGGGTTGTGTATTTTAGACGTGCTCTGGATTGCTTGCCAATATTGTGTTAACATTTATTGCAGAGAAATTTCTGTTCAGAGTGGCAATCCTGAAATGTATTCACGTTCCAAGGCAGTCAAACACGAAAAGGTCACATAGGAAGCACCAACTATATGAATTTTAGAAAAGTCGACCAAACACTTATCCACCTGATCCCAAAGCGTAGGCAGGAGAGACTCCATATACAGCCTTAGAAAAATAGAGTCACCAAAGGGTCCCCGTGCTTTTCTTTTGCAGAATTGGCTATCCAATTCCAATGTTTGCGGGATTCTGCATCATGTTTGTGTCGACAATTAGTAAGTGTCTACTGTTTGCCTTCTGCGTGTGGGTCACAGGGTGGGCTCTGAGGACCCCACACCGGGAATCGAAGCTGCAACTCCGGGGTGGGGGTGGGGGGTTGTGTATCGGCCACAGTTGCAGAAGGGGGTCCGTCAAGTGGTTCGTGGCACAAAAGCGCAGTGCGGTTAGTACGGAAATGGGCCATCGGGTTCAGGGCTGGCTTCACGGAGCTTGTGTGAGTGGCGCGGCCCCGGCGTCAGGCTGGGACTAATGAGCCGCCGGGCCGCTCCCTTGGCAGTGTTCGCCTTCTCTAGCAGCTACGCCTTCCTGCTCATCGCCAGGTCGCTACAGGGCATTGGCTCATCCTGCTCGTCTGTAGCCGGTAGGTGTGCAAAACGCCCGGTAAGTCAGTGCGCCCGGGGCCAGCTGACCAGCCCCTTGCAGAATTAGCTGGAATAATGTAGGGAATCACGGTATTAGCAGTGGTGCTTGGGGAGGGGTGCTTAGGGAGGGTACTGCTTTTTCCTTGGCTTCTGCTTCGTCTTACATTTCTGTGCATCTGGCCGGTTTGGGAGATCATGGGTCTGGGCCTGAGAGGGAGGGCGAGTCACAGGTGATTTCTTTTGGTGCTCCCTGGAGAGCTTGGCTGTTGAGCATTCCTTCTCTTGTTTAGGGATGGGCATGCTGGCCAGCGTGTACGCGGATGACGAAGAGCGAGGCAACGCCATGGGCATCGCCCTGGGAGGCCTGGCCATGGGGGTGCTAGGTGGGCAAGGGCCACGTGGAGGCCGTCTGCGGGGAGGGGCCTGTGGGCCGTTGGAGGAGGGCTACAGTGCTCTCTGAGTCCACTCCGAGTCTGTTCCCCTGTTATTCCCTACTTTCATGGAGCCTGTGTAAACTGGTGGGACCTTCCTGACCTGGGGGTAGGTGGGCTCCCCTGCCTCCCCCTCCCAGCCTGCTGGGTGACCTTGGGCAAAAAAACCAGACACCTTCATGGGTCCAGATGTAAAATGAAGGCTGGAACAGGGTGGTCTGCCAAGCTCCTTTCTCTTGGGCATTCTCTGGGTTATCATCCCACTTGAGGACCTTCCCACCTTGCTACCTTCCAAGTCTGCCTCTCCCCCTTGCCCTGGCTGACCTCCCTGGCCAGGTGACAGATACCTTCCCTGAGAGGAGATTGGGTCCTCTCCCTTTGTCGCATTCCTGGCCTTCACTTGGGAGCCCAAAGTTCTGCCCATGCTGGTTTATAAGGACCAAGGTCTTCACTGACCCATTTTCCTGCTCTCGTTAAACAGCACAGTTGTGTGGCCTGGGTCTGGGTTCTCTCTGGTTTTTACTTTTGGGGTATCCTGTATGCTCTTGCCCATGTCTTGGGTATAAAACTGCTTGGAGGAAGTTGCCAGGGCAACTTGACCTGAATAGAATGTAAGGTGGCCACTCCAAATAGTTTTTGGAACAAAGTACAAACTCAGGAAACAAATGGATGGTTCTTGTGGAGTGGCGGGGGGGGGGGGGGGGGCATCAGTCCCAGGGCCTGGCACCAGCCCCTCTTTCTCTTCCTTGCAGTGGGCCCCCCATTTGGGAGTGTGCTTTACGAGTTTGTGGGGAAGACAGCTCCGTTCCTGGTGCTGGCTGCCCTGGTGCTCTTGGATGGAGGTGAGTCCATGTGGGCACCTTGGCCGTGACCTCGGCGGCTGTGACCTGTGTCAGCAGGTGATCCATTTCACCAGGTGCTTGTGCCCACACCTCTTTTTTTTTTTTTTTTTTCCTTTTCCCCCTCCCTCTCATAGCTATTCAGCTCTTTGTGCTCCAGCCGTCCCGGGTACAGCCAGAGGTAAGCCCCTGGGGAAGGAGGGTGCTGTGGTGGCCACATCAGCTTTTTTAACCCCTGTTTTTTGCTGACAGAGCCAGAAGGGGACGCCGCTAACCACATTGCTGAAGGACCCCTACATCCTCATCGCTGCAGGTGGAGCTCCCCTCAGTCTCCCTGATCCTTCTCCGCCAAAGCGTGGGGGGTGGCTGGCGAGAACCAGTGTCCGCTTTGCTGCTGGAATCTGTAGAGAATCATGAGCGGCCAAGAGGTTATATATGCGTCACCAGGAATGTCTTTCTTCCATCATTAATCTCTGACCCTCAGCCAGGGTCCTTCCTTGGTTTTCACTTGGGGCAAAGAGGTCTGGGTCACGGAGATGCCCTGACCCAGAGGTTTGTTTGTGTCGGTGGCCATCACTGTTTGGCCTTGAACTCCCGGAAGGAGTCGGTGACCTCTCTGCAGGCCTTGTAGGTGGGCGGTCTGATTCACCTGGGCATGCGTGAGTAAGGGCTGATGGCAGAGCCCCAACGGACTGCTCCCTTCCCGTGGAGAGGTCACTCTGTGCAGCACCGGAGAGGCTGCCGGGAAACCCTGTCTACAGAAGGTCCCATCTTCGGGTTCTTGGCCTAGATGGGCTCAGTGGAAGCCCTGGTTCTATGGTTTGTTCATTCATCCAAGAGAGTGTCCCGCCAAGACCATCTCGGGGATGCGGGCCTGGGGCTGCCTGACAGGGGACCGGCCTTATGCTGCCTGGGCCTGGATGCTGGTCACCAGTGACCATTGGGGTCCGGCCAGGAGGGGCAGCCCTGAAGTGGGGCAGCAGATGCAGTTAGGGTGAGATTTGTCCAAGCAGTGGTCCCGAACACGGCTAGGACTGTGGGAGTCTGGCTGAACTGGATGCGTGCCCTACCTGAGAGCATTCCAGTTTAGCCTTCTTATGCCCCAGGCTGGCTTTGTTGAAGCCTTCTGCTGCTGGATTTGGTCATGGGGGTACCTGTGTAACCCTGGTCTAGACCGTCCCCATCAGGCCAGCTGGTCCCAGTGTTGCAAACCTGGTGTGGTGACGTCCTTATGCAGGGGACCTCTCTGTGCCCCCAGCATGATGCAGGGACTGTTCCAGTGCCCAGACGCCCATGGAGCCCAGGCTCTCTCAGATGGAGTGAGGAGATGTGTGGCGAGAGCGGGCCTCCCTGCAGCCCAGCTACACCCACTGCCTCAGGCTTTCTTTGACCCTCACCGCCTCACCCTGACTCAGGGAGGAAAGATCCACCCAGCACTGAGTATCAGGCTATCACAGCTCCAGGCAGCCTCGGCTGAGGGAGCTAGAGGCCAGGCGGTGTCTTCTTTGTTCTGGTGGGATTTTAACTTATGAAGGTGACTGAGTGATGACCCAGAGAGGTCAGTGCTATTGAAAGGAGATTTTATTACCACACCACTCAGGGCCACCTGAGGATGGAGCAGGTTTCTTAGGCCAGAGGTTTGCATGAGAAAGGCAAGGCAAGGCTGGGGGAACAGCTTCCAGGGGCAGGCTTTGGAGCTGGGGGCCGACCCCGGGTGCCTGGCGCCTGGCCCTGGGTGGATTTAGGGCAAGGATGTCGGTTTGCTGTGTGAGAGTTGGACAAGGAGGGGTTCAGAGCATGGGCCCTGGGTCCCAGGGGAGACATAGCAACTGTATCAGTTTGGCCCTAACTGAACAGATGGCAAGTAGACCAACCCCGAATCTGGGCAGCAGGTAGGTGGGGGGAGCCAGTCATGTCCGCATCCTTTTTCTGTTCCACCTGTAACATCACGAAGCATGAAAAAACCTTTCTTCATTATGTGAGCCCCTTAATCACCACAGCACAATGTTCTTTGAATCAGGATTCTGGCAAATTAGAGGTTCCTGGGGACAAGGCACAGGAAGCTCCCAGCACTGTGGGGCAAGGGTCCTGTGCGTCTTCTCCTCCAATGGCTCTACCTTTACCAAGGGTTCTGGTTAACATGGTGGTAATGGATATTTGCAAAGATACGCTATTTGGATAGTTGATTAAAAAAAAAAATCCCTCGACAGCCCATCTGTACTGAATGTACTGGATTTGGGGGCATCCCAGGGCATCTTTAGAAATGTCTGTGTTCATTGCACAGTAAAACTTAGGTGCAGGAGCCTCCAGTTGCTGGGGTCTGTGTGTGGTCTAGAAGGGGCCCACACTGGTGGGCGGCCTCAGGCAAGTAAGTTACTTCATTAATAAATTGGAACTCCTTTGCCAGTAGGTTGGGATGGGTAATCAAATGACCTCTAAGGCTCCCTCCAATTCCTTTATGACTCTGGGATTCTAGTTTGAAAAAACTGTTTCGTAATACTTTGTTTAAATTTAATACTTGATTTCAGTTATTAGTATTTCATTTTAATAGATTTAACTTAATATTTATTATTTAATAAGAATAATGATGATGATGATAGTAATAATAAACCCAACTTCCCCAGTCTCCCCTTGACCTGTTGTTTATCTTTTCCTCACAAATAGAAGTTCTGGGCCTCCAAATGGATTGTTCTGGCTGTGGGCATGTGGGGTTTAACTGTGTTTGGAATCAGTAAGAGATGCTCAACACCCAAAATGGAAGCACACTAACCCTCTCCCTCCCTTGAAGGGTCCATCTGCTTTGCAAACATGGGGATTGCCATGCTGGAGCCAGCCCTACCCATCTGGATGATGGAGACCATGTGTTCCCGCAAGTGGCAGCTGGGTAAGGACTGGAGTGGGTGCTTCTGATTCTAGAATTTTTGTCCTCAGGGCGAGTCCTATCATTGTAGCCCTGCCAAGCTGCAGGTACCAGGATGATAAAATGATGGTTTCTCTTTGACAATGGGGTCCGTGCTTAGGGTTGCAGTGAGCTTTGGGGTCTGTTTCAGCTCCAGTTTTTTTGTTTTTTTTTTTAATCATCCCTGATGGATACAGAATTAGCATAGAGGCATCAGACGTGGGCAGAAACGAGAGCACAAAAATACATTCAGTGTCTCCCCATGTTTCTGAATTAGACTAGTTATGTTAAATGTGTGTGGACAGCAATAAAATTTATGTGAAAGAGGCTAACAAGCAGGATTTAAGAGGATTAATTTTAACATTTCTAATTTAGAAAGTAATACATACTTTATTATTTAAAAAACAGACCCAGATCAAGGAAATAAATCTTAAAATCTCATGTTCATCTTTTTCCTCCCAGCCCAGTCCTCCATGATATTCATTTTTAATAGTTTTGTGTCTTTTCCCAGATGGTTCCGCATTTATCACCATGTAGGAAATGCTTAAAAGCCCAACTCAAGTGGAATCTTCCCAATTGTATCACTGTGTGACCTCTTGTTTGTTCATGTTTCCAGGTCAGATGGGTAGATTTAATTTTGAAAATTAATTAAATTTTTACCAGTTACACACGTACTTAATGTTTAAGTTAAACATTACTAGCATTACTAGAATTATAATGAAAGTGAAAGTCACAATAATGTCAATACTGAATGCCAATCTAACCAACAACCGTAATATAACTGTTTTAGAAAAACAGAAGTTGAGAAAACAGGTGAGTTGGTTGTTTGATGTTTTCAGGTAGAATAATGGCATTAAATCTCCATCTACCACGTTAAGGAGCTAGTAGACAATGTCAGAAATTGGAGAACTTAAAAAGAAAAAGCAGCAGTTACACTTATTATTTAGAGACATAATTTAGCAGAAAAAAACAACCAAAAGCGGTGAAGGTTATCAAATCTGAGGAAGGGGGTTGGAGATGGGGAGGTATAGGTCAAAGACTACTGGCTTTTTCATTATACTCAGAACATTTAAGATGCCTCTAATCAGGGTTAGTGGTCTGCCCCTTTGTGTCCTTGTCATTTCAAGGTGAGACCTTTCCCGTGTGGAGATTATTTTTGTCATACGTATTTTCTCCTCGTTTATGATTTGTTTTTTACATTAAAATCTTGGATTTACACGGTCTTAATTTAGGTGCGTGGTGTGTGAGAAGGATCTGGTGTTACTGTTTTCTCTATGACTAGCCAGTTACCCTGAGTGTCCACCCAATTTTTCCCACCTTTATCATACTTGAAATGACTGTGTGTCCTTGGGTCTGTTTCTGGGTTCTCTCTTCTGTTCTATTGGTCAGCAGGAATTTCTGTGTCAAGATCCTCCTATTTGATTACTGGAGCTTTAGAACATTGTTGAGTATCTGGACAGCTAGTCCCTGCACGCACACCTTTTTCTTTAAGAATTTATTGATTATCCTTCCTGGGGATTTATTTTCTTTTCGTAGTTCTCTCAGCTTATAAATTGCTATCTTTGGATGGAGATTGTCAGTTCCAAGTGAAGCTGACATTTATAGTGCCCCCAGCCTTCCCGCAGGCAACTTTCTATTCCCTCTGCCCTGGCATCTTGCTAGATGCTGCTTCCTGGTTCACACTTGTCCCTACCCCAGTCCTTATGGACGCTGCACTGATTGCTGTGTTCTTTCATCAAATAATCCTTCCTTAAAAAGGCCCAAATTGCTTGGGACAGGGCAGGATGAGGGGGTGCTGCTAATGGGTGTGGGGTCTCTCTTTGGGGCGATAAAAGTAGTTTGGAAACGCATAGTGCTGATGGTTGTGCAACCCTGTGAATGGTACACTTGCAAAGGGGGCGTTTTAGGGTATGTAAATGATGTCACAAACAAAATCAAAACCACGCCCCAAACAGCAAGAGTCATTCAGCGACAGAGGAAGGCTTCTTGGAGCAAACCTAAGGCTAGTTCTTAGACAGAAATTTAGCTCAGAACCTCCTGGCAAGGGAGATGCCAGAGGAAACCCAGAGACTCGAAGCTCCCAGGGAAGGCATACCACTTTGCAGAGGGAAGGACTTTTCCTAACGGGGAGTTTTATAAAAGATGAAGAGCCGCTCTTCCTGTCTTATTGCTGATGCTGGCTGTTAACCCCGTGGGCGCTGTTTCTCCCCATGGTGGTTTGGGCCTCCAGGTGTTTCCAGGAGGCGCCCCTCATCCCCGTGGCACTTGGTGTGTGCACTGTGGGGTCCGCGGAGCCTCTGTGTTCGCTTTGCGAGAGCTCTTGGGCTGAGGCCCTTTTCTGGTGTTTCTCATGTCCCCACCTGACTTCTTCCCTGACTGAATGCATCTTGGCCATGAGGAGGGCACCTCGGCTGCTCCATCATTTTCCTCTCCAGACGTAGTGAGTCTTTCTTTATAGAAAGTCCTTGAAGTCCATCAGAGGCTGGGGCCTTCCGGGTTAGATAACAGGCTGCAGGCCACCTCGGTTTTATCAGGAGATCTTCTCGTTGGGCTTATCTCCTGGGCCAGAGGGTCCGCGGGTTGCATCTTTCCACCCTGAGCTCACGCCCTTCCTGCCTCCGACACGGACTTGTGTTTCAAGAGAATCCCGTATCTGCACCTGTTCTGCCATGTCCTCCCCAGTGTGCACGGAGCACCTCTGCCAGAGCCCCTCAGGCCCCTCGGAGCCTTGGGGTGAGGAGGCCACCAGGGGGCGGGGGATGCGGTACAAGGACTGAGGGTGGAGGTGAGGGACCCGCCAGGAGTCTCGGGAGGCCCGGGCAGCCTCCCCTCCCGGGGCAAGGTCATGTGTCAGCTCCCTCTCCAGTCCAGTGTCAAAAGGAAAGCCCTTCTGCCCCTCTGCTTCCCTCAGCATTTCTGGAAAAAGACTGTAAACTGCAAAGTCAAAGCAAAACAGTCTTACCAGGTGCCCAGGGGACGCGTGACGGCTTTTGTTGAATGCTGCGTTTTTGGCCATAATTTTTAGAGGAGGTAGATGGCGGCCTGAGGAATGGGTCATCTGGAGCCCGGAGGAAGCCCACGGCCGCATTCCCACCATCCCTCTGGGGCTGCGTGTCCAGCATCAGCTCCTTGGGGGCTTCATGGTGGGCTGAGCCTTGCCCTCTTGTGCCCGTTGAGCCGGTGGTCGAAGCCAGGCTTTCCATGGAAGCACAGGGGTGGGCGGGTGATCCCCGTGGATGAACTTTCTCATAGGCGCAGGGGCGAGTGAGGAGGTGCAGGCACCCCTGTGAGGAGAGCAGCGGCCCAGCAGAAGGGGAGGCTCCCACGTGTGGCCCCTGCACCGTGTGCGAGCCGGCCCGTCAACACGTTCCTCCTTGTGTCAGGAAGAGGCGGACAAAGACTTTTTGTCGCATTTGCGGGGGATACAGGTTTGGGGAGGGACAAAATTGCCCAGTTGGTGACAGATCCTAAAAGATCGCCCCTGGCACCAACCAAAGTCTGAAAAGGACAAGGAGGAATCCCTCTGGTGAGAAGGTAGAGTCCTGCCCTAGGGTGGAAGACGCCCCCCAGAGGCCAGCAGGGACGGGGTGGGGGCGCGGGTCGGTGCCCTGTGAGCCCCTCGAAGGTTGTGTGAGCGTGAGCGGTGGCTCCCCGGGTGCGGAACAGGCATGACTGCCTCCAGAGCCCGGAGTAGCCCAGGGGCCGGATGGTGGAGCCAGCTCCACCATTCCCTTGGTCCTTCCCCAGGTGCTAGGGTCACGTGTTGTGCACCCAGCATGGAGCTGGGCAGGGGCAGTTCTGGGCACCGTGTTTCAAGGTAGAGGAGTGACTTGAACTTGTACACGAGGGTGGCAGTGGATGCCCAGCCACTGGGAGCGACCCTGGAGCCCTGGTGGTGGTTCGCTGGGGAAGCCAAACCGTGGGTGGGAGGCATTTTCTCTCGTGCTGGTGGCCTGGCTGGGGGAGGAGGTGGAAGTTTCCAGAATGCACACCAGGACCAGTGGGTGGAAGTGATGGCAAATTTTGGGCTTGGTGTTAGGACACCTGCACCTCACAGGAACTGTCCTTAAGGATCTGTCTGGAAGAGCAGTGCTCCCAGCCCGGGTCTCTCTGAGCAAAGCCAGGTGGTCTTTTGGGACACCAGGCAGGCTGCTGTGGGAGGCACACTGAGGTTTCTAGGTTTCTTTGAGTTCCTAGAACGGGTTCTGTAGGTTGTGTGGGGCGGTGGGCGCCCTGGCAACGCAGAGGATGCCGAAGCTGTGGCAGATCAGCTCTCAGGGGCTTGGAGGCTGAGGTCCGAAGCTGGAAGTCAAGAAAAGAGGATCCTGGCTCCAGACTACACTGTCGTCTTTCACCCACCGGAGGCAGGCTGCTGGACAAAGGGGGCCCTGCCTTCAAGGGACATTGGCGTCCCTCAGTACTTTTGGTTCTGTGAAGTCAGTGTCCTTACATGGGTTTTTTCTCTAAGTGATCAGCCATGTTCTGAGCATCGCCTGTGTGCCACCTGGAGCTGGGCAGTGGGAACAGGTGTTGTGGTCCCCTCTGCCCGCTAGGAGATCACTGCAGTTGGGGAAGGCCAGCCCGCCAGGGTGAAATGCCAGGAAGGAGCTCACAGGGAGGGACAGGGCAAGGGAATCAGACGGGGCGGACTAGTTGCCCTTGGAACCTCAAAGCCTTCCTCTGAGATGAGTGCTGTAGAAGCGGTCACTGTTTCTCGGGCTCTGAGAGGTTACAGTGACCCACTGGAGCCTCCGCTAGTCCGTGTCTAGCTGAAATGAACATCTTGTTTCTTGCCTTACTTCCGGTGCTTTCTCCTGGAGAAGCATGAAACTGGAGTTTGCCACCTGAGAGTATTTGCCGTCTATGGAAAATCAGGTGCGTCTCCAAGCGGGTCCCACGGGTGAGCTCAGCACCCCATTCGTAAGTCAGGAAGCTGTAGCTGATCTGTGGCTTCCTCTGGAGCACGTTGCTGACCCTGCTTTGAGGCTTTGCTCCCAGAGTCAGGATTCACCAGGAAACAGGGCTCCCGGCCGGGTTCTTTGCAATCCACGTCCTTTGGCTCCAGGTTACGGTGGTGTTTGTGGACCGGAATTCAGCCCATAGGTGGGGTTTGGTTGGCTGCTTCAGTGTCAGCCTGCGAGGGCTATATGTTTTTAAAAATTAGTTGCCAACATTTACAAATCCCAGAAGATTTCATGTAAGACCCTTGAGTTCAGGCTTTTCTAGAAAAATTGGATCTTCCAATCTGTGACCTCAGTCCTCCAGAGCAGTAATCGTCCGGGAGGAAGCGCAGCTGCTTTCCTGGAGGGGGTCGAGGCCCTTCCCCTCTGTTTTCCTTTTGTTTCTTGGACGCTGAGGCCCAAAGTTGGTGGCTCTTTATCATGACCCCTGTGCTGTTATTTATCTCATACTTTGCTTCCTTCCTTCATTTACCTCCTCCCCGAACCCCAGAGACACTCATCCTGAGACCAAGGCCTTCGTGATTTCATATGTCTCCAGACTACCTCGACTACGTTGTGGTCAAGGTTAGGCCTAATTACCAGCTGCTTTGGGGAGCATCTGGGTTCCCAGCGCACTGCATCCGTACCTGTGTTAGTCCCTAACGTAGACATGTCCCAGTTCAGGCGTCATCTGCTTCCTTCCTTTGAAGACACGCTCATGGCGACTAGAGCCACGCTGTGGTCATTGTCTTCACTGTAGCACTGAGCCGGGCCCGTGTTATCAGGCACGTTTGCTGAATCCGATTACACCCAACAATCATTTGGCTGCCCCTATGACAAGTGTGATGGAAATGGTTTCCTGGAACATGAAAATGAGATTGCTCTTTATTATTATTTCCCAGATCACCAAGCCTAGGATGATTTGGTTTTGGATTTCGCTCCTGAACCTAATCATTTTGAAGTCCCTCCTGTGCTAGAAGGCTCAGCCTCTCTGGAGGGTTTGATGGCTTGCATTCGTGCTGAGAGAGATGCAGGGAGAGGCTGCTCTATCCTTGAAGGACCGAGATCACACTTGTCTGTCTGCACGCTGCTGAGCTGCAGGAAAGGCCCCAGGCCCTGTGCATTTCCAGTGCCTACCTGCTGACCATCTAGTATCTGGCATGTGTGTCTGGCTTGTGCAGTCATGGGATTGAGGGCAGAGCAACGTTCACCATGAGTGGGCAAGGCTTAGAATCAAATCTGGTATAACTGAGTCCAAGAAGAACATCAAAAGTATGACTAGTTTGAAAAGCCATCTTTTGAGAAGAGATTGTCTATTGTCCTGATAACCAATGGGGACCACACGGAGCTGATGTGGACAAATCCCCAGCAGCCAGGCAGGTCACACTCGACGAGGACTTTCTGTTTAATGCAGAGATGACGTTCAAGGCGACCACCACCACCTGCACCTGGAAACTGGCACAGGCTTGGCCCGGGGATGACAGGTCTCTGGGAGAGCATGGAAACCTTGGACATGTCAATGACCGTCACGTGACTTGGCCACAGAAAAGGACCACATGGACATTTATTGTTTTAGACATGCAAAGATGTTCATAAAGCTAGTTGAAAGCAGCAGGATGTAGAACAGTAGTACAAACCCATGTTTTTTGTTTTTTCTTAAAATCCCATGGACACACATTTATGTGTGTGTGTATGAACTTGTGTGCATAAATTTACGGGAGGAGATCCCCATGCTCATTCTCTGAGTGATGGGGTTTGGGATGATTTTAACTTTTTTCTTGGTCCTTAATGTTCCCGTTTTTTTTCCCCAATGCCTGTGTCTTCCTCCTTGTGGTAAAGTAACAAAGGGGTGAGGCCGGAGCAGGCAGTGCTACTGCTCGGCGCGTGTGGGGTCACTCCTGTGGCGGGAGATGCCCAAGTCAGGCCGCGCGTGCAGCCACCACCAGGCAAGATGGAGCTGTTGATAGAGGAATGGATTTCATTTCTGGAGTGTCTCAGCAGCTTTGTGAGGATGGATCAGGCCCGTTGAGGCCAGTCTGGATCTGTCAGCCGCCGGATATTAGCTGCTTGGGTGCTGGCCCCAGGGCTTCTCTCCTCGGTTCTAATCACCATCGTGGTGTCTGACAATTATTACTTTTTCTAACACTTGACTGATAATCAATACTGATAAGGTGTCCTTTTCATAAATTTACAGGCATTGCTTTCTTGCCAGCTAGCATCTCTTATCTCATTGGAACCAATATTTTTGGGATGCTCGCACACAAAATGGGGAGGTAAGATGAAATTTGAAGAGCACTCTCACTCTCTTAGAATAATGTATCTCTTTTAAGCAAATTCTACATGTTTCTGCCTTAGTTATTACAAGCAATTGTTTTAATTTCTATTGAAAAATTGGACTGGGGAAAAAATCGGAGTGGTCATTTACTGAAGGTGCTTTTTTTGTTTTCTTGGTAGGTGGCTTTGCGCTCTTCTAGGAATGATAATTGTTGGAATCAGCATTTTATGTGTGAGTAAAAGATATTTGACAAGTGGTAATGGTGTGTAAATAAAACTTTGCTTTGGGCCAGGATCCCCAGGAAACCTTTTATAGCTGTTTAAAGTTTGTTGATTTTTGGTTTTATGACATCTTCCATTTTCCTCTAAATTTTTTTTATCATCTTAAACATTTTGGACAAGATTTTCCAAGGAATACGTTTTCATTTTATGTCAGTTGGAGGTTAGGTAGTATATTTTGTCGCAGAGTGTATATGTCACTATCCCCTCATCATCTTAAACATTACAGTGTCTTAAAACACTTTCAAACAACTAGCCTGAAACAACAGCAAGATGTTTTTCTAGAATAAAACACCTCTACCAACGGCCCGTATCTACCGCAAGTGAGGCCTTCTGGATCTTGTCAGAAGCGGAATGTGGTCCAGGCTGATCTCAACTGTGGCAGTCAGCGAGTTTTCCTTGGTGGTCGCAAAACCCATTTCAGCTTCAACTTTTAAAGACTCGGAGGTCCCGGTTCTTCCCAAACACCACCCTCTTCCTTCCTCCCATTTCCTTCAGAAGGAAACGTGCACACCCAGGCCAGAGGTTTTCCCAGAAGATTTACAGTTGGATATCGTGATTCTCGTGTAATGTTTATTTCCTCTTACAGATTCCTTTTGCAAAAAACATTTATGGACTCATAGCTCCCAACTTTGGAGTTGGTTTTGCAATTGGTAAGTCCCATAACCTTATGCCTAAATTTGAAACTTTGTTTTCCCCACAACTAAGAAAGATCTCCTCTTTCTTAGTTGATTTGGGCAGACTGTAGTTCCTCAACCTAAAATTTCCGGAAGCTTGAGAGGAGGCTGTGGGCAGCCATGGTCAAGTACAGCCTGACCATTATCTATAGATAGATACCTGCTTCTGCGTACTAGTCCTTTATTTCCAGAAAACCAGTATTTTTAAAAGCCTGATATTTACAGAAGCAAACGGATACTCCGTTGCTGCCCTTGGGCAAACAAGAGAATCCCTTGCTCAGAGCGTGTTTGTTCGGGCTCAGGTCTGTGCACTGAGCTGCTCCTATGAACCAGGGCGGGCGGGGGGGTGGGCAGAGACCTCACATGTATTTTCTGTGAGGTTTGGTACAGAAGAGGTGAACAGAGATATTGATCACCACCATGCTGCGGGACTTCTCACCGGCAAAGGGGACGAGTCTGTAATGGGAGGAATAGTCACATGTTAGGAACAATCTCGTGAACATGTTCTATAACTAGTATACATTTGTTTCTCATTTGTAATATACCGATGGCACCTAATAAAAGTAAATGCTAAATCTAGCACAGGCTAAAGGCGAGAATTGAATCTTTGGTACTGTGGAAAGAGAGAAGGGAGCTTCTGCAGACTCCCCAGGCCGGGTTAGGTTTGTCCTCACACAGCACCTCGTGGCGTCCGTGACAACTGTGGTTCATGTTTCAGCTCTTTGCGGCCCATCCACCCCTTCTGTCCATTTTGTTCACCCCATGGCCCCAGCACCCTCCACATGTTAGGGGATCAAGGACTACTCATTGAATGAAAGAAACGTCCCTCCTCTTCTTGCCGCTAGTCCTTGGTGGGGGTGAGGGAGCTAACTTTGGAGTACCCCGCTGGAGGGGTCCACGGATGATACCGTCTCCTTTCAGCCGATCATTATCTGCACCATTTTATGGATGGGGAAGCCAGTGTTTGGAGAGAGAAGGATGGCCGTGCTCACCCCGCCAGGGACTTGAGCCTAGGACTCAGCACACATGCTCTTTATGCTTCCTGTCCTGGCCTGTTGAAGGAATAAGATTATAATACTGGCCTTGGATGTGGTGTTTGTTTGAGCCCCAAATTAGACCTCTTTCAGTCTCTTCCCTGAGCAGGGCCGGGTGACCTCTCAGACAGCTTCATGTTCTGATTCCTTCCCATCTTCCCTGATACTTTCCAGCTTCTTCTTATGGTTTGCGTGTGAGGCTAAGGTGTGGCTGAGGACAGGGCTGTGTGAGGTTTGTAGATGTGCCCCCCGGCTGAGGGCAAGGGGCCAGTGGGCCAGAAGAGAGTTAATCTGGAAAGCACCAGCTGGAAGCAAGTGAGGGGGCCACACAGCCAGTAGCCAGCACCCCACTGGGATGTGAAGCCTGGTTTGTGAGTCACCAGAGGACTGGAGGCCCTCCCCTGGAAGATGGGCCCTTCAGACCGTAGAGGACAAGGTGAGGTAAGGTGGAGAACAGGCGAAGGTGGCCTGGGTTCCAGTCCTAGCCTCAGCCACCAGCAGTCTGTCCTCAGTGACGTGTATGCCTTGGGCAGCCTGCCTTGAGACTCACAGGTGGTGATGACCACTGGGGAAGAGCTGGTGGGGTTGTGAGGTTAGGACACAGTCCCCAATATTCCCCACATTTTTGGGTTACATCCATTTTCCATAGACCATGTTCCCTGACTGTCCACAGGAATGGTGGATTCATCAATGATGCCCATCATGGGCTACCTGGTCGACCTGCGGCACGTGTCTGTCTACGGGAGCGTGTATGCCATTGCAGATGTGGCGTTCTGTATGGGATATGCCATAGGTAAGGACTCTGGCTTTTCAAAACAATGTTTTAGCTTAATGCATGATCATGCTGATTGAAAATTATTTAAACTTTTTTTTTTTAAAGATTTTATTTATTTATTTGAGAGAGAGAGAATGAGAGATAGCACGAGAGGAAAGAGGGTCAGAGGGGGAAGCAGACTCCCTGCTCAGCAGGGAGCCCAATGTGGGACTTGATCCCGGGACTCCAGGATCATGACCTGAGCCGAAGGCAGTCGCTTAACCAACTGAGCCACCCAGGCGCCCGAAAATTGTTTAAACTTTAGTACCTTCCTATCTGTGAGACATCTGGAGAGAGGTCAGTCTAATTCTCTGTTTCCTGAAAGGTCCTTCTGCTGGTGGGGCTATCGCAAAGGCAATCGGATTTCCATGGCTCATGACCATTATTGGAATAATTGATATTCTTTTTGCTCCTCTCTGCTTTTTTCTTCGAAGTCCACCTGCCAAGGAAGAAAAAATGGTAAGAAAATTTTAGGCCGCAGTCAAGTGTTTCTTGATCATTTTAGCATGGTCTTCTGGATAGTTTCCTCGTGGCTTAATTATAAAATATGTTTCTGCTCCTTTTGGACAGAATTCCCCAAACATAAATGGTCAAAGTTCCTTTTGAGTTTATACCACATGGGCCATATATATATATATATATTTTTTTTTTTTACTATATCAAGCATTTTGTTTGTAAATGTGAAGAATGAAATGACTTTTATACATATGTTAGCAGTCTGTATAGCTCTTGTCAACCAGACATGGGGTAGTTCAATGTGATTTTCTTCAGTTATTGAAAATCTTGAATATTATTTTTTTTTGCCTCCTGTGCCGAGTCCTAAGATTAGCCATTTTTGGTGCTGTTTGCTTTTCTCCTAAGCCTTACAGCTTTCAGTAATAGTGTTTTAGTCCTTACTGCAAAAGATTCTAGAGATGGTTTTGGTGTAGATAACAGAGCATTTTGGAAAACTATCATATATGTACCTCTGGGCCCACGGGGGCATGTCTAACCTTTAAATTCACAATTTTATAACCAGAACCATAACTAGATGAAAGATATAGAATTGAGTATAAGGTGTTCCTCTTCTGAACAGATTCACTTATTGATTCTAAACTTGAATTTTGAAATGCATTAGTCGTGTTAATCTGACAGCCTCCATACGTGGTGGTGGAGTTTTTAAAACCTCCCATGGTGACAGATTCTCATCCAGCTGGAAGAAGAGTGGTTTAGATTAAGAATGAATGAGATAACTAAGGCAGGCAGAGACAGTATTTTTGTGATTATGAGGTTCAATTGTGATGTTCTCTTGGGGGTACATCAGAAGTTCTTTCTGACGGTTGAACTGAAATGGGTCTTGATGCTTTGGCATTTCTTGAACTGCCCTTTTATGATTTTCCCCAAAGAGTGAGTTTAAAAACAGACACAGATTCTAAAGTTAGGCTATGTGCAGCCTTTATTTGTTTGGAGCGTTCTTTGTATTCATTAATTCCTTCAATATATTTACAAAATATATTCAGCATTGGGCACTGGTCTTATGCCCTTTATTATACAGGATGTAAAGCAGTAATTTTGAATCACTCAGGACCTGTTTGATGGAAAGAAGTGGAAAGTGTTGTGGAAATATCCCGATGGAAACCACCCCTTCTTCCTTTCTCTTGCTTAGATGCTGAACAACCGTAGTGCTTTATTGATCATCCGACCTGTCCCCCAGCCTGACCCCCACCCAGTGCCTTGCCCAAATCAGGGTCAGAAAATTCTCAGTGCAACAACTAAAAACTGTCATTCTGTTGCCACCATATCAATTTGATTAAGGCTGAAGGAAGGTTACTCCCAACCCTTTTTGACCAAAAAAAAGACAAATCACCTACGAATGCTCCTGTCACCCAGGAGACTGTTCATGATTCTTGGGAGATAGTGAAGGGCTGGCATGGCCTTGGAGCCAAACTGTCCCATGGGGAAATGACCGCATCTGCCTCATTGGCTTGCTGGGAGGATTCGGAGGAGAATCCCACAGGGTGCTTAGCCCTGTGCTTAGCACAGAGGAAATGTTCATTCAGCAAATGTGTTACTATTTCCAGTACCACCCTATACTTCTTTCTTGCTTTTACTGAATGCTCTGATTTACTGTCCGCCCAGAGGGTCCCTGCTATTGTCCCTTTGTCCCCTCTGTGAGGTGAGTGCTTCCTTTTGCTACTGAGACCCCAGGACTGCTGAATGGGTTTCCCTGGCCAAGCAGCGGACGTTAGTGGCTGTTGGGTTATCTGTGTGTCGGCAGCAGCGCGATGGCTTATCTGGGGCATCGGAGGAAATAAGCGAGATGAGAGAGGTCCGAGGATGAGCTGGGGGATCAGCCTGCCCACCAGCTGCCACCGTGGGGTCCCCATGACGCCGGGCAGGAGGCAGGCCCCTGATGCCTATTCTCTTCCCTCACGTAAATCCGTGCTTTAGTTCACTTGACAATGCCCAGGAAGTGAAAGAGACGATCTTGAGAGGCAAAGCAACAAGAATTGCAGGCTTCCAGAAAGCCACTTTCACTGTAAAATGTCAAAATCCTTAATGCATGCCTAGGAAGAGGAATCCTTAAAAACTTGAGAAAACGCGCATGTCGCTGCCCGTAATCGCTGCCCGTGATCGAAGGTATCACACTGGATTCCGTTTGCCCCGTGGAATGGTAGCCTTTGACGGTGGCCGGCAGCGGCTGCCTACTCACGGAGCAGGAAGCAACCTAATGATGGGGGGGCGGGGGCGGTGAGGCCGGGACGGCAGTGTGCCACGGAGGGGACAGAAGTGATTACTGCCCACTTGAGAAAATCCAATACCGACCAGTGCTGGCGTTCAGGATGAGCAGTTACCAGATGCAGGGCGGACAGGAGAGCCGGAAGAAGGCCTATAAACTATAGCAATTAATTCTTTCATTAGGCAGCGTTCTGATAATGAGGCATTTGGGCTTCAGCTATTTTATATTGAAGGATCAAACGCTGTTTTCACGGGTCCGCAATCGTAGAATCTTGGACGAGTTTGTGAGCACTTGAGTGTTTTTTCTATTTAGGGAGAAAAAAACCTGTTGTTACTCAGGTCCCTTTGCAAGTATAAGAAATATCCGCTCTGCCGTGTGATTTAGGTACACGACAATGACATGCAGCCCATGATTCTCAGAGTACCCAGCTGAGAATAGCTGTGTGCTGGTATGGATATTTTTTTCAGGTTGAAGAATTATTTTTGAAGATAGGGCACATTTCTTACATCTTACTCTTGAAGTTTCTGGTTGTGGCCCAGAGGGGAAGGTCGGTGTTTGAGATCACAGCTTGTTTTCCTGGGTGACTCTTGGCTCTCTCATAGTTGTTTCCAGAGAGTCCTTCCGGCTACTGTTTCCTGAATGCAGGGGCCAGGCAAAGACCTGCATGTTACAATCTATTTATAGAAATGTGTCCTTTTGCTGGGCATTTACATAGTGGATATGCACAACCATCACTAATTTTTTTTTTTTTTGGATACAGTAAATAAAACTTTTCAGCATACAGGCCTGGTATCTCTCAAAATCTCCAAGCCTGGAGGGGCTTATGCTTCAGTGCTTTTCCTGTCTGAGTATCCTGCTGTGTACTTAATTTATATACTTCATTTGGTCCAACAAGGCTTTTACCACTTTGGAGAGCCTCACTCTGCTCTGTGTCTGATAGGAAGCCAGGCGCTTGGTGGGGGTTCAGTTCTCAGTAACTGGGCTCTGTTTGGGATTCAGACACCCTCCTCCTTCCTCTGTTGTCTTTGGTGGAGAGTCAGACACACCTTTTCCCCAGCAGAGTGCTGGCTTAAATTACCTGGTGGCTCCATGAGCCGCGCTCCTCGTGGCCCCTACGCGCTTGACTTACCCACTTTCTCCTGTTCACCCACCTTCTGTCCTTGGCTCTTTGGGAATATTACAGATGCTGTTTGGCTTATTTGATCACATATAACTTGTTATAAAAGCAGATGTCACACATTCTTTCAAAAGAGGTTCAGAAGACGGTAAGCTAGGTTTTAAAAGCTATGAAACAATATTTCAAGAAAGAAAACTTATTTATCTGGAATAGGCTTTGTGTGCAAATGTGATTTGGCTACATTGATAACTTCTGACCACTGAAGTCTGTTCGATGCTCCTATCATCAGTCTGACTGAACTTCCCTTGCAACACAGCTGTTTGAGTCCGTACTAGGTGCCCAGTGTTAGGTTTCTGGGGTCCTTAAGTCTACATATATGCAGAGTCAGGTCTAGCGGGGGGTGAACCAAGAGAGGGCAGTTATGAGAGGGGTAGAATGATAGCCATCCTTCCCAAGGCTCTTGCTGCCTGTGGGTCAGGGATCGAGACCCCTTGCCTGGCGTTCAGGGCCCTGCAGTCTGGTTCTGGTTGGTCTTTCTAGTTAATGTCTGTGTACCTCAACATCAGATCTCTGTGGTGGTCAGGCTGGCTCACTTATTGTCTCTGTTTTTATTTTATTATTTTATTTTTGTATTCTTTTTGAGAGAGAGCTAGAGTGAGCAAGTGTGCTAGTTGGGGGAGGTGGTCAGAGGGAGAGGGAGAGAGAGAGAAGCCCAAGCAGACTGCTTGCTGAGTGTGGAGCCCAGCGGGGGGCTCAGTCCCATGACCCTCTGAGATCATGACCTGAGCCGAAATCAAGAGTCAGCCACTTAACCGACTGAGCCACCTAGGCACCCATGCCCCTGTTTTATATAGTGGCTCGTCGAGGAGATAATTCATACTGTGCTCACAGCTCCTTTGCTGTGCCCATCCTTCCCATCCTTCAAGGTTCAGCTCGTGTCCCATCTCCTCCATACAGCTGTCCCTGAGCACTTCACCCACCTGTGTGTGCTGTGGGACCTGTCCTTCCCTTGCGGGGAAGTTACGGAGGTGCTGGGTTAGGACCTTAGGGGGACGGCAGCAGGTGCCCAGCAGGCTGTTGGTAGCCATTCGGTTCTGCTGTAGTTCTAGATGATACCGTATCACTAAGGCAGTGCTTCTCATAGCATGTTGACACCACTGTCATGAAGGGTTAGGGACCTGAATTTCAGGTTTAAGCGCCCCCCTCCCCCCGTGATTCTTGTGCATGTTTCTTTGAGGATCCTACCCTGTAGAGGTGAGACGTTGAGATCTTTTGTGTAACAAGGGTATGTCCATATGGGGAGAATGGTCCTCGTGGACAATGTCTGTTGCATCAGTTACTGAGTTTTAGAAATTGAGCTCTTTATTAAATACATGTATCAATTCACTTGGCATGAAGCATAAAAAAAAAAAGTTAAATTTGCAGCTGATGATTTGAGCTGGCAGCCTGACTTAGAGGGTCAAGAAAGTCATTATCTTAACATGTCACCCAGGCAGATCATTTTAGAATTTCTCAGGAAATGATAAATGGGTTAGCACTGAGTGGAGTCACAGAAGTTATCAAACGTATGGGGCAAGACCTGGGGGGCGTAGCTGACAAACACCGAGATAGGTTGCCGTAGGCCAACATGAGATAAATTTTAACAGATAAATGTTTCCAAGTAGATTTTCATGCTGCATAAAAAGGTATTGGGGGAATAGTTTATATGGAGGAAGACTCCAGAAGGCACAGCTGGTGGGAGAATCCATGAGTCGTACCCAGTGTCCTGCCATGCAGTGCCCACCCCCCGCCTACAGCAGGAACAGACTTTGGCACTAGGCCATCTGGCGCATATCTGCCCCATTCTAGCTGTACGTCTCATGGTCATGTTCTTTAATCGCTGTGCCTACACAGAGGGTTATGGGCCTACCACCTAGAGTGCTCGTGAAGCTGACGTCTTGCAGCAAGGCCGCTCGGCACGGGCCTGGCAGGATCAGGGCAGCTGTATTCTCAGACAACAGGCTTGGTCTGCACATGTTCAAGAGGAATAATGATTCCCAGGACTTATTAACTGAGGATCAATGGACTGTTTTTCAGTAACAATGTGAAGGCACACAATTTTTATGTTCATGGGAGTGTCTTTTTGTGTGTTTTGTTTTAAAACCTCCATTTGAGCAAGAGAAAGACACCCAGGATTTGGGGACAGGTGCTCTGGAAATGCCATTTATGAAGACAGGGGCCCTGTGATTAGTGTAGGGAAACCTAAGGGGCCAGGGCAGTGGTCTTAAAATATCATAAGGGCAGTCTGTGAAGATGGCTCGAATCTGAGCTGGATCCACGTAGAGAAACGAGGCAGTTTAGCCTCAGGTACATTTCCAAGAGGAGTTCACCTCATGGAGGATATGTTGCCACAGGGAAATCCGTGCATAGCAGTTGGACTGGGTGACCTCCAGGATTCCTACCCCCTTCTCACCCCAGTCCCAATTCCAAGATTCTAAATAGAATCTTCCTAAACGTGACCCGCACAGCCCTTGCTTCATGGCTTGCAGGTTGCCCTGACTGGACTTCATGGCCCTGGGGGAGACCGTGGCCCTGAGGGAGACCGCAGCCCTGGGGGAGACCGCGGCTGCCGTCTCTCTTCGCCTGGAACCCTCCCGGAGTGTGGAACCCCCCCGGAGTGTGGAACCCCGGGGCTTCTGGGCCAGGCACCTGGCAGTTGCACCCAAGGGCTGGTTGACAGCGGGTAGTGCTAGATACAGCTTTCCAACTAGTAATCCTTAAAGATGGTAGGTTAAAACCATCTTCTCTTTATGAAAGAAGGTTAATATATCTGCACTTGGCTCTCTTTCAGGCTATTCTCATGGATCACAACTGTCCCATTAAAACAAAAATGTACACCCAGAATAATATCCAGTCGTATCCGGTAGGTGATGAAGAATCTGAAAGTGACTGAGATCCTCAAAAGTCTCAAAGTATTTATCGTATAAAACCGTGTTTCCAGAAGTGAAATGACTCCTCCAGAACGGTCTTAGTCCTACCATTCATCCCTGGTGAAAGCGAAACCACCAAAGGTTATTCATTCTTCTCCATGGTTGTGATGGATTGCCAACAGCCTTATAAAGAAAAAGCAGCTTTTCTAGGGGTTTGTATAAATAGTGTTGAAAACTTTATTTTATGTATTTGATTTTATTAAATATTGTACAATATATTTTGACGAAATAGATATAGTGTAAATCTATAAATATTTGAATCCAAATCAAATATAATTTTTAAAAAACTTACATTCATGAACACTTGGGCAAAAAAACTTATATTTTTTCTGAATATTGGTAATGAGTGTTTAAAATGAAAGCACACATTATCTCCGAGACACTTCCAACACTGAGAAACTAGAAGGAAGTCTGAAAAACAGAATCAAGTAAGACAGCATATGATGTTGTGACACTGAGTGTGGTTAACTTGTAATTACTATCAATATATTTATGAGCTAAAAGCTAGTTATCTCAAATGCAGAGGACAGGAAGTTGAGTCCGTCATCTTTTGGACTTACCCATAATCGTGGCTGGCATTAGTTTTCTACAGAATCATCTACCTGGAAACAGATGGTTGTAAATTATGTATTTACATGTCGTGTGGCGGGCAGCGGACACTAAAGCCAATAGGGAAATAGTAAATGTTCTGAAAGCGGAGAAAAGCACCCAGAAGTATAGTTATGTACAACTAGCTTTCCCTTTCTAGTATATATTTGATTGTCTTAGGATGAAAAGAAAATTGAGGGTAGATACACCTTGTACTGTCGAGGTTGTTTAAGCATAAGTATATTAACATCTAGTTCAACTTTTAGAAACGTAAAAGGCTAATAGCTGCTATGATGTGAAAAAAATCTGACCATACCTTTTTGACCTGGTAGGTCATCCAAGTGTCTATTAAGTTTTGAATTGCAACTATTATTTTTTAGACTTCTGAAGGTTGTTCACGTTAATGTGAAAAATTTTAAACGAAGATGGAGGAGGAATGAAATTATCTTGAATCACATTAGGAAAACAGGTAAAAATAGTAGGTCAGGACACATTCCCTTTCAAAGACAGAAAAACCCTAGAAACATCTAGAAATGTCTGTGTATTCTTCTATCATCTAGTGCTGTATAATGTGGTTTTTCTAAGCATGACAACATTGACGTGCCTTTTCAATTTAACAGCAAATACTGTGTTAGCACTGTCAGTTGCCATCAGGTTTTGTATGAGATGTGATTGGAGTGTGCAGATAGTATAGAATGTCTCAGATAATACTTGTAAATTCTGTAGTTCTGCAATCAACAAAAATTACCTAATGTCTGTACTTTGTTAAGCTAAAATTGTGTTTCTGTTAACTTGGTCAAGGAGCAAAGAACTTTAGAACAAGGACTCAGTCTCTAAGAGAGTAGCTGGTACTTTCTTTCCATTTGTTTTATGAAGCTTCTCTGTAGCTTTTGAAGCTTCTTGGAGTGACTTCAAATCTGGTGTTGAAGTGCAGTGTGGTGGAAGCAAACAAGTTTCCTACTCACATATTTGCATTGGGCAACTTACAAATCTCTGACTGTAAGATGGCTCTAGAAGCACTTTCATATGGCTAACGTAAACCATCAGAATTGTTCTCTACTCCCACAGGGGGGACCCTTCAAGAACGTGCTACAGATCAATTCTCTTAGAGGGCTGGTGGCTCTCCCTGACCACAATACTGTATGATTTACTCCAATTTCATTCTTGCCTTTAAGGCTTCAGTCTCTTCAAGAATGACTGGCAGAGGCATGCCCACTGTTGATCTCTAGAAAGAGCGTAAAAGACATGTGAGTTTTTCAGAACTGTTTTGGGATCAAAAGTATCAATTATATCTGAGGGGGAAAATTACAAGGTCTTTTATAGGACTAATATTCTGGCCTTAGCAAAACTGTGAAGTGAGGCTTTTTTTCCTCAATGTATAGGAACCATGAACATACAGCTCCCTGAATGTTTTTTTGAGCAGAGGTGGGTTTTTATGTTTGTACCTGGCAAAACAGATACAAAATCGTTAATGAGGTAGCAAAGAATATTCAGTTCTTTCTTCTGACTGCTAAGTGTATGTGCATACATGTTTTAGCTAGTTTCCTTAATAAATCTTCTGAACACCTACTGTGCCTGTTTGTATTCCTTTATAAACCAGACATGATCGTTGGAATAAAATGCATAAGGTATTGACTGTGAATATCTAATTAAAAACTATTCTGCTTGCAGGCATCAGGTAAAAATTCAGGTTAGTCTTAACCCTAGTTTTTGGCTTTGCAAAATTGGCTTTAGATTGAAATCTGTAACTAGTCCCATGGTGTCAATGTGGAAAAAGCCCAGTTAAGTTACCCTTGCGTTTCTAAAGTTAAATTGCTTTCCTGACTGTCGTGAACAAATAACTGTATCTGATGGAAGTAACTAAGCTCTTCCACACGGTGAGCCCACATGGCCCTGGAATCCAGACAACGCAGGGTGTGTATGTGTGTCTTACAGGCATGAGACTCACAGGCATGAGAATCGCAGTTTTACTCAGATCTTAGAGGGGCTCTACACCTTCCCCAAACCTTCTATTAAAGGAAAGCTATTATCTCAATTTAGAAAGAAAGACGATACATTTTCAAAGTGATTTTAAATTTATTCACTTTTAGGGAAATTAAGATCTTTGTAATCAGGAGCCACGTTATTTTCAAACTGCCTTTCAAAAAATCGAGATAAATTTAGAGCTTGACAGTACCCTTCAATTTTCAGCTTTTCTCAAAATCGTAAAATAGCCAATAGTATTTCAGCTATTCTGATACTTGAGTATAGAACTTAATATTAGGAAATGTAGCATATTCTGATTCCAAAATAATGCTAAAATATTGTTCAGCTTGATTGTTTAACCTAGTTCTTCACCTCACCTAAATACCAGAAATACAGAGAATAGTCTAATTCCTAATAAACAGCAGGGTCGATCCATACATCTGAGATTTCACAGCTTAGAAAAACAACAGTAAAACCGGAATTTAATGCTTTTAGGCAAATTTCAAAAGAGCAATTTTGTTTAGCAAAAGTGGACTTTGTGAAGAGCTTGTTTGCATGGCCAAATTCTACCAGGCGGTAATTCCAGAGAGATGTAGCAATCACCTCTTTCAGATGTTAGCAAATGAAGATATTCTTGTTTTCTGTGGTAGTTCTTTTTATTATTTTTTAGCTATTGATAACATAGCATGGCAGCAAGATTACATCAGGAATGTAATAGAATACAACTGTTTTCATGGAAGCCTCACACCTCACTATCCCCTAGGCTGTTTGGCGTGACCCCCCTCCCCCGCACTAAAGCACAACTGTGATGCTTCTACTGCCTGTCCAAGTAGAAAAATATTGCACTACATTAAAGGTAGATTTTACAAATATCATTAGCAGCATTACTGAGCTTTTCATAATTGTGGTTCTACAGAGTTAAATACTTTTAAAACAGGAGATTTTTATGAACCAAAATTTTGCATTATTTCTGCAGCTCTTTCAAATGCATCGGTTTCAGCAGCATGCTTGGATGTCACTAAAACTGCTGTGGTGTCATCCATCCATACACACCAGCCACTTACAGACACTGGCCTTCCAGGTCATCACCGGTAAGTTATTTTTCATAAGATAAAAGTTGGTTATTACATTGGGCAGATTGTTTCAAGCACGTTACAGAACTTTTTTTTAGCTTTCAGAGAAGTTGGTGTATAAAGACTTCCACAGCAGTGTTCTGTTAAAATGCAAGCATGCTTAACACAAAAAAGGGGATACACAGATCTATTTTTGTTATCAACTTGGCCATTAAAGGTACTTCCTAATATTTCACTTAATAAAAGTAGAATAACTCCTCTACCTTCAAAAATGTTTTTGTCCCCCATTTGAGTCATAGCTTTTCTTGAATAGTTTTTTTTACTATTCAGAACACTTCTGCAGTTCTGTTGTTCTCCTCACAACAATCCTGTGAGGTAGTTAAAGTATTGTTTATTCCTACTTTGGAGCTGGGGAGACTGTGGCATGGAACCCTCTTGTGATTATAAAGTTCATTAATGGCCAGTGGAAGAGCTTGACCTTTAACTCTTGCCTGGAGTCCTGGGCTATAAACCTGGGCCAGAACGCTTACTGTTACATCTTACAACTATGCCTCTTCCTGCCGGCCACCGAAACTGTCCCACCTAGCTTTAAATTCATGTCAATCTTTAGTAATATGTCATTTATCACAGAGTTACCTACAAGAGGAAAACAGACATATAAAAGGCCAAAACTTTTATGGTATACCAACAGAGGTCATGCTCACATGTTTTCCCTCAGTCACATGTTACTGGGGTCCACACAGTGGACCGAGTATTGGAACAGATCTTTATTATCACAGAACTGATCCCCATTCCTATGTATCTATACTGTTTTTATTTTTTTTAAACAAAAGACTGTCTGAACTATAGACATGTTCAGAATGACCACCATTCCTTCAACCTGCAGCATGTCAATCTATCTTGCATGATTCCTTTACAACATCCTCCTGCATGAAAATGTTCCTAAAACAAAATAGCCAAACCCAGTTATCAACACGGTCATTTTAAGAACAGTCCTCTGAAACTTTATCCTTGACATGCTTTATTTCCCATGGGAGAACTGAAGATGAAAAAAATCAAATGTTCAGAACTTCCATTTAAAGGGAGAAAGCATCCACATTTTGAAAGATTTTATTTCAAAATCCTACTGGTTACTGTTTTTTTTAGTAATCCTCTCTACAAAATTCTTGAGCAACTGCATTCTCTATTTCCTATTACATTTTGTTTTTCAATGCAACCTCTTCGAAATTAATAACTGTATTCTCACTAAAACTGCAGAAAAACTAGAAAATTCACAGGATAGAAAGCAAGCAATACACGTAAACTTTTTTTTTTTTTAACTAATCAGTGTAACTGACTAAAGCCGTAGCATCTGCTTTTATGTTACATTTGGCAAAAACAAAAAACCACCCTCAAAACCCCAAAATAAAAATTTCAAGCAAGTAGAGATGACAAACTTCCTAACACGAAGATTCAAAACCTGTTCCCTCAGTGACTGCCGTTGTCAATTTGGGCATGCAGCAAACTTGTTATAACCGTGATGGAAATGAAAATACTTCAAGAATTTGGACAGTATCCTATTTAACACTCATTCAAAACTAAGATGAAGGAAAGTAACACAATGAGACATCACACGTACATAAACATGAAAAGTTAGCTTACATAATTACATAATTAGAAAAAGTTAGAAATAAATTAGTAAAAATAAATTCCCAGTATAAACCCAAAAACGCATATAGCTATAAATGCAATCTGAAACAACCAATGTAGTGAGCTGGTCATGTTTTTGCTGGAAAACCACCTTTTTTCACTCTTGTTCTTACATAAGCAAATGGCTGTGGAGAAGCAGGCCGAAGTGCATTAGAAGAGGGCTTACATGTGGGTTATCTGTGGTACTTGAGATGCAACTTTTCCCTAATCACTCAAAGTTTAAACAGGCTGTCTGTTAAACAGACTCTGATGGGCCAAATAAGTCCTCTGATATGCTGCTGAATGGCTGGGAGTCTATTAGTTGGGTTATTTCATTATCGAGGTCTTCTTCTGTATCATCTGTGTACTTGCTTATTTTTTTGGAGTGCTGCTCTAAAGACAGACTTTCTAAAGATTCAAGATCTTCAATGCCCGCTCTGTAGTGGATCATGAGAAGTGTTAGAGCTTGTAGTCTTTCACCTGATTTAGACAAAGCAGCAGAAAGAAGGGATTTTTTCCTTGATTCAGTTGCTTCTTTTTCTTCTCTAACAAGGGAATTATTATGTTCCAGCTCCTGGTCAATTTCGTTCTGCAGTTTATCCAGCATGAACTCTAGTTTCTGGATCCTCTCCTCTGTAGGCAAGCCCCTGTACAGATCGCGGCCGATTTCTTTAACTGCAATGAAAACACTGTCGTCCAGACCACCCTCCTTCCTCACCAACTTTATTCCTGTGTTGTTTCCCCGTTTAGAAGGACTGTTCGGACCACAGACCTCTGTGTCACTGCCTTCGTTGTCTGATGTGTTGGGTGTGTGTTTTGGTGAAGGTTCCACTAGATCAGTTCCTGGTTCAGAAAGGCGAGTTTTAGAGACTTGGCGCAAATTTAACAAACGAGAGCTCGTATTGATGATGTGTCTTGTCAAACCTGTTGTTTTATTGACTGACTTGCTAGCTTCAGCATCAACACGAGGAGGCAGGCCTAAGAAGGTTTCTTGTCCTTCCAGCCTGAGGTTTTTCAGGGTCCGGTCTATCCGCCTATCAGCTGCTCCACAAAGAGGTGTCTCCGCTAGACACTTTTCCTGACATTTTTTATGGCAAACGTAAGCACAGAACATACACTGGGAAGCAGCTTTAGTCCACACTTTTTTCTTACAGTAATCACACCAAGTTGGGTTCTGGAACTGAGTATCCTGGAAACTATGTTTATTTTCTGTTAAACCCATCTGTCCAACAAAATGTTCCTCTTTAGGTAGGGCAGAAACCTCTTCGACCAAATGGAGTTCTTTTTCTTTCTCTAAGTTAGTAACTATAGGGTGGTCTGGTTCTCCTTCTTTCAAATATTTGAAGTGAATGGTAATGTCACCAAAGCAAAATTTGTCATTGAATCCCTTTTGCATACTCAGATTCCGTAGTGCGGTTCTCGTGACCATTGCCTTAGGTGAGGGGGCTTCCAGTCTGAATTTTGAAAAGTATTCCATGTTTGACGTAGCCAGGCATCCTAAAGCCACCTCTTCAAGTTTTAAGCTGACATGCCCCAAACAGATAAGACCCCCTAACTTGAAAGGATCTCTGCACCATAGTGCAATGTTTAAGTATCTGTGGCAGGCTTCTATGTCAAAGAAACAGGTTGCTCTGGTTCTTGTCCATTTTCCTAGCTTATTACGGTAAGGAATTTCTGATGATTCCCACGTCTGAGGGTCATCTGAACTGTCCTTAGGAGGGCAGGAACCTTCTGAAGTAAAATCTCTCGCTACTTCTTGCTTTGCTAAAAATGGCTTAGATGCAGCTACATCTTCTGTATGATCCGTATTTTTCGCTTGCTTTTCAGCAGGTTTATCCGCGGGAGGAGGCAGCACCTTTTCTGGCTTTTCAGGGAGAACATCTGGTTCTGTCTGGTTTGGGGTGTCGGCAGAAGGCAAAGGAGCTTTCACTTGTGGTCGTGGTGGCACGGGTGGTTTGAAAGTGGATCCTTGGGTGGGTTTTGACCCTTGTGTTGGGTCCGTTAACTCAGAAGCTTTTAGGGCCAAGGGTTTATTTCCCTCTTTACATGGAGGTTTTGGTGGTGGTGGGTGATTTCCTACAGCTAGTTTACGGTTTAAAACTGGTGATGTCGTTGCAAGGGGTTTAACAGAAAGTGTTGCTGGGGTACGTTTGGGGCTGTGACTTACTAACGGAGCCTCTTCTTTGAGCTCATTCTGTGGTCTGACGTCACTTGCCAAGTCTTCAAATTCAGAATCCAAATCTCTATTTTCAGCATCTACCGCCAACCCAGTGGTTTCCTCTTCGTAGTTTGGCGGGCACGAGCTTGACAGAAAGTTTTCTTCCAACTGCCCAAAATTATCTGGCAGCGCTGCGCCTTGACTGCCCTGGCCGACAGGCCTCTCGTAGTACACCAGGACCCGGTCCCCAGCCTGCTTGATCAGCTTCAACACCTGCAGGGTAGATGTGATCTTCACACCTGTCATAAGATTTTAAAAGGGAAAACATGTAAATTACTGCGATGAAAATCACTTAAGTTTGCTGAATGTAACTGCCTTAGTTTATGATTATGGAAAAGCAATACAGAAATGTGGTGAATGATCAAATTCAGAGACCAATGCTTGAAGTAAACTTAGCAAAATACTGTAGCAAAATACTGTATTATGAATAGCGGACTCTTTTACATATTCTTTTTATTAGCCCTACCCATCAAACTAATCTTTTTATCAGGACCAGAAAGAACAAGGAAAGCATAAATTGCTTTAAAGTTTAACAAGGTGGTTACTATCTGCATCGATAATATCAGCTTAAATTTTCATTTTATTATGTTCTAATAGGTGGCTGCATTAACCCAGTTTGAAATTCAAAAGGTACAGAAAAATGCAGAGTGAAAAATCTCCCTTCCACCTCTATTTCCCAACCACACTGCCCCTTCCCTGAGGCAGTCAAAGCTAGCAGCTTCCGGTGGAGTCTTCCAGAGGTACTCTAGGTGTTGTCTTTAAAGGCTCTATTTGTTTCCTGCCCTCCCCCCACCCTCCCCCAAACAGTACTTACCCAAGCTAGCCCTTTCTGTAGGACTTAGAAAAAGGTGAGAAAGGGGTCTTTGCTTTCCAAAGGTCTTAGGGCCACCCTAAATAAATCAGAGTAACATCAGCCCCATCTAACAACCTGACTTCAGAGTTCCTCAACCTATATCCTCTCCTACCTCAGCTGCCCAGGCAAGATCATGCTTTAGACCTGATTATCGCTTGGAATTTCCCACATCAGAGATCTTTCACTTGTAATTAATCTCTGCTCACAATCTCCTGTTTGTTACTAACTGAATCTGTTTTGAGGTAATTTCCAGGCCCAATCATTCCTCCTTTGCTGTCCTGGTCCAACTGGTTGGTCTCCTAACACCACTTGCTTTTCTCCCCAACCTTAGTCTCAAGATTTCACTGATGTTCACTTACATCAAGATTTGGGATTCTTCTGCCCTGGCGCTTTCCTCTTCTGTCTACCTGGCTTTCTGATCCCAGCTTGCTAGCCCCATCTCCTTTTTCTGTTCCTGGGCTTACCACCGGTACCTAGTGCTAACTGATGCTGGCCATCTTCAGCAAGGCATTCTTTTGAATTGTTTCTGGTCTCTAAACAACTAAGTCTCTAAAACCTCAGCTTCAAACCCTCCCTACTGTCTTTTATTCTGCAGGTGATCTCATTTACTGAAGAGATCAACAAGCAGCCACCTTTTCTCCTGGCCAGTCATTTTTAGTACGAACCTATCTCTGAGGACGAAGTAGCCCTTGACTTGTACTTTGGATCCTATTCCCCATCTCCTTCAGGACTTTGCTCCCTCAGCTATCCTGGCTCATTCTTTATTCCCTTCCTTCTTCTCCTTTAAAACCTTTTTCTTGGTTTTCATACTGTACTACTAATTTGGCTCTGACCACCTCTGCTTTCTTTTTCCCCATCCGTATCTGCGCCTTGTACCAAACGTCCGCATGGCTTTTATATGCCCTAGTTCTCTCCCTTTTTGCTCTCTCCCTGGATCACAACCACCTCAGTGGTTGCAACCGTCTTTTTCTTTGGTTGGTCTCCCCTCTTCTTCACACTGTTCTTACATCCCTAACTACTTCTGGAGATCAGCACCTGGATGTTCCCTCGATGTAACAAATTCAGCTTAGTTAAGACCCCTCTCTGATCTTCTCATTCTCCTGTCCTCACTATGTGAATTAACTTGCCACCCTCCCAATTAACCCAATCTGCACCCCAGAGACAGCTGACCCCCCTAGATCCCAGCAGCTCTCAGTTCTGTCAGAGTTCTAGGCCTTTTCCTCCCTTGTTCAGATCCACCTGGTTACTGGCTTCAGTTCCAAGAATCCATAGCTCCTTGCTGTGACCCCTCAGATCTTCCCTGTTTGTTTTAATCACCAAACATACTGCTCCCCAATTTTCCTAAAGCTTTGGCTCAAAAACCTTTAGTGTACAAACTCATCACACTGGAATCCAGAGCTTTCTAATGTGGCTCTCTCCATAATTCAGCCTACTCTTTCCCTCTAACCACACTATGTTTCAACAAAATTGTAGTCTGACATACACACAAATGAAAAATAAGTCCATCTACTGAGCAGGAAAACTTCAACTCAATCTAAACTCATTCCTTGTGACTTAACACCCAGCCTCATCTCTTCCCTAACCCCCAGGAGCTCTGGGGAGACAACCACTATTCTTCTAAGGACTAGCTGGCCAAATCTGGATTCCTTTTCTTTTGCAATGTTACAAATACACACAAAACTAGAGGAAACAGAAGAAAAATGAACCCCATCATTGAGCTTCAAATATAATAAGCACTTTGCCAATCTTTTTTCAACTACCACCAATCCCATTACTAAATATTTAAAAATTATATACCCATATAAACAAGTTACAGGTATAAAAAATAAGTATTATACCTGTCCCGTATCTCAGTACTTTGTTTTTATAAATGTTAGCTATAAAGGGGTGACCTTTTTCCACTCTGTACACATTTATATTGCTTTATTTTTGAGAAGAGATATTTTCGAGAATATTTACTGCATGTGTAACTGAAAACAAAAACCTTTCCATAAAAGGACATAAAAAAGAAAAAAAAATACCCTGTAGGTAAACCCAGAACAAACGTATGTGTGGATATAAAAAATTTATACTGAATTCTAGTTTTTGGCTGAGGGGGAGTAACTGCTATGTTTGTTAAACAGTTACGTAACAGAGGAGGTCTGTTTCATGGCTCTACCATCCTTAGTTCCTACAAAGAGCCGCAGCATCTGGGGGCTTGTGAGAAATGCAGAACCTTGGGCTGCTGTCCAGGTCTGCTGAAGCAGAATCCCTATTTTAACACCATGTCTGGGTGACTGGAATACAGTCAGAAGGTTTGAGAAGCACTGTTTATGACCTATCAAAGGGATTTCCATGTGAAAATACGGAGTTAGTTGGGCTTCCAGGTGTGCAACTAAATGATTTTCATTATTTTACTGTCATGATGGCTTTGAATCAAAGCTTTAACATGTAACAAAGGAAAATCCCTTGTTTTGAGGGGCGCCTGGGTGGCTCAGTCAGTTAAGCGTCTGCCTTCGGCTCAGGTCATGATCCCAGGGTCCTGGGATCGAGTCCCACGTCCGATTCCCTGCTCAGCAGGGAGTCTGCTTTTCTCTCTCTCTCTCTCTCCCTCCCTCTAACCTTTCCACCCCTGCTCATTCTCTCTCTCAAATAAATAAAAATAAAATCTTGAAAAAAAAAAAAAAGAAAACTCCTTGCTTTGGGGACTGATCTACCTTGTTGTTTATTATCTTAGCTGTGAAAGAATATACCACATTGTCTTTGGAAGCTCAGTTGTGACCAAACATGAGTTCAAGAAATTTCTTGACAAGCCTAGAATGGGGGGACGGGGCAGGTACTACAAAGGTCTGAAAAGGTTTGGACTTTTTCCCCATTGGTGTGTACAGGGGATTGCCTATTCATAAACATCTACTGCCTATTCATAAACATCCAAGCAAATAATCTGCCTATCAACAGAATTTATGTAGTTATCAATCCAACTGATAGGAAGGCATACAGGTGACACATTCTTCCACTAGCAATAGTGATTTGGGCTGTACTCTAATGACTGCATATTAACAAATGGCTGGCCAATCAGGGACAATACACAGCCATCAATATGGGGCCACAGGACAGTTCAAGTGTGCCCTCTTGGACAAGAAATATTAGTCTGTCTCCTGTTCGTTATCTAGTCCGAAGTGATGGGGGTCATAGTGCTAATACTGTCAATTTTAGGCCCAGAGGAGTTAGGTGGTTATACAGAAGGAACTGTTGACCTGCCCTTTCTTTCATATTCATTAAACACTAGAGGAGTAGAAGATGGGATGGAAAGGAAAATTAGAGTTTACCGAAGAGTGGTCTAAAAATGAAGTATTTTACAGATTTATACATAAGGACAAAAATGGCATATGTGTTGTAAATTAAGGCTTCCTTCAGATTTTTATTTTTAATAAAGTTATTCTCTTTCCATTGTAAAAGTAACGTGCTCACAGAAAGAATGAAGATAGGGAAAACTCCCACATTTGATGATTTCTCTATAAATGTGATGTGTGTTGCATATTAGCATAATTACCTCCAATAGCAATCAGTCGGTCTCCCCGCTGAAGATCTGCAAGTGCAGCAGGCGAGTTTGGGGCCACCGTCTCAATTATGACATGCCCAGCATACCCGTCAGTTGACTGGACAAGACGAAGTGTAAGTCCGACACTTTGTAAATTCCCCTTTATTAATTCAACCTTTGATAAAGAGGAAAAAATGAAAACAATCAATGCGTTCACGGTAGGGGAGTGAGAAAACATTAGCCCACTGAGAACACTGTAGCTGATGCTGACTTTTGTACCATGGTGACTATTTTTACAGACAAATAAAAGAGGAGGAGATTTTTATTCTGACAATGTTAACACATGCTCAGACTGCACATATGGGGTTCAAAAACATTAAACATACTTTCTTCAGTATGTCTTAAGATCCATTCTCACTGTAGAATATTTGGAAATAGAAAGGCAAAATGAAAACACTCCTAATCATACCATCCAGAACTGTTGTATACTTTCTAATATACATATTTTAACACAAAATTAAGATCCGATTGTGAATATAATTCTGAATCTTGCTTTTTTGAAATATAATGGGAAATATCTTCTATGTTATTAGATGTGCTTTGGAACCTCTTTTTTATGATATATTGTTAAATTATCTTTTGGGGGAAGTAAAAGAGTTTACATTTGTTTTATTAACAGGTATCTTATTAATGAGATAGCCTTTTCTAACTCATCAAGATCATTTTGTTTTCTAAACAAGTGTCACCTAATTTATCAAAATATGTGTCCCAGATTCACATTATCTGTGAACTAAAAAGACAATGCAACATGTTATGTCCTCATTTAAATTACTGATTAAAAAAACCAGATTGAATGCTACATCCTTCTAGATGACAAGAATTCAATCTGTGTTTATTGAGTTAAATAAATTACAAATCAGTCTAATTGTATTATCATTCAGCCCATGTTTCTTAGTTCTGGTCTTCAAGAGATCTCATGAGGGACTCTGCCAAATAACTTGCTAATATCCTAATATATCACTGTCTGTATTGCTTTAATAAATAAACCCTACTTTTAAGAGCCAGAAATTTAATTCTCCTACCTAATGGTGTTGGCTGGTAAAAGAGACCTAACTGGAAATTGTTTTTTAATATGGATGTTACTAGATTTTGTAAAGGTGCTTTTAGATTAAGAAAAATCTTAATCACATTATGCTCAAGAAATGGGAGATGTAGTCAAGTTTTTGATTATCTAAAGGTTTACACATAAACAAAAAACCCTTCCAAAAAATGTATGTATTTAAACCTCCAAAAAAAACAATTCTTATGATACAGTAAATAATCACTTATAATGTTAATAGTGGTTTTCACTTTAAAAAAGCCCTTAAGAATACATTCTTTCAAATCCACAAACATAAATAGATTCTTAATATATACAGAGTGCCAAAACTAAAACTTATAATGTAACATTTTCTAATATGAGAAAGTTAATAGTACCAAATGGGCAAAAAACTAAATTGTATGAGTCTGAGAACTGTAAATTTTAAAAACACTGTGAATGTGTTTTTTGTGATTTACTCTTTGTTCTTAACATGGAATAGAGGTTGGGTGGATGGGGTTGAGAAGGGAATTGAGGATACTATAGGTTTTGTGTAACTGACTTAATTTATTTTCTATATACCAATCATACTATTCCCTTTGCTTTTCTTATCTCAAATGATTCTTGAAGTAAACATTCCAGACGGAAAAGGATAAGGTTTTCAGGAGGAAAAATAAGGGTAGATAATACATTACTGCCTGCCCCCCTTTTTACTACTGGTAATAGTAAATGCTATTGATTTCATACTTACACAGGGAACCAAACTTAAGACACTATTTCTTCTGCCTCTTTTCTTGTTAAGATTGTTTTGTTTCCTTCTAAACTCACAGTGCTGACGTGTCTAATTTTGGGATTATAGGTACAGCCTTCTCTGAAACAGAAACTTAAAAATTTAAGTTCTGACAGCAAAAGTTTTAAAAGTATAAAAACACCTCGTAATTAAAAACCTGACAAAACATTTAAAAATGAGTATCACACAAAAATTTTTAATGTGAAATTTATGATAAAGTTTACAAGACTATCCAAATGATACCATGACTTCTGGAACAAAACTGACATCTCCATTGGGATGAAACTATTTTTAAAACAAGAATAGCCAAAAATAAAAAATTCTCCTCCATACACAGGTATTTTTTAAAATTATATATATGACTATTGGATATTTCATGCAACTATAAAACATATGCCAAAATACAATTCTTTAAATGATGAGGTGAAAATAAAACAGAAATCCTAAATATTTTTAATGTATTTGCACGTGGCATATACCCCCCTGAAATATGGGACACCTTATTACCTGGGAGGTTTTGGTTTTGAAATTTTTATTATGGAAAATTTAAAATATATATAAAAACAGAGGAGAGGTAAAATGAACCCTGTGGTAGGTTATAAAATATGGTCACAAATTACTATCCTCATATGCAAGTCCCTCTGTAATTATTCCCTTACCCAATCTGCCATTAGAGGTGTAACTTGTTTCTCCACCCTTCTCAGCAACCAATATAACCAGAAAAAAATAAGCAAAGACAAGACGATCTGATCATTATCATCCCTGACATAAGTGACATTTAAAGAACATGATACCTAATTATGACAAATATACATTCAAGTGCACATAATTTCACCAGAATGTGCTAGGTCATAAAATAAGTGTCAATAAATTTAAAAGACTGAAATTCAAGATATGTTCTCTGAATGGAATTAAATTAGAAGTCAACTAACAATAAGATAACTAGGAAAACCCCCAAGTATTTGGAAAGTAAAAATATGTTTCTACATAATTCATGGCCAAAGAAGGAATCAAGAAAAATTTAAAAAACATTCTGAATGGAATGATGAAAATACAAATTATTAAAATCTGTAGGATGCAACTAAAGCTGTGTTTACTAGGAACTGATAGTTTTCAGTGCTTATACTAGGGGCAAAAAATACAAAATTAGTGAAATTAGTTCCTACATCAAATCAGAAATCTCAAAATAGAAGAATAAAGAGCAGAAATCAATGAAATATAAAAACAGAGAATTCAATCATGAGAGCTGATTAATGAAATAAAAGTGATAAGCCTCTAGGCCAGACTCATGAAGAAAAAAAGACAACATACATTACCAAAATCAAGTAAGAGGGACCATCACTACAAAATCTATAAACATTAAGAGAATTAGGCCATATTTTGGACAATTTTATGCCAATACATTTGACAACTTAGATGCACTGGAAAAATTTCCTCAAAAGATACAAATGACAAAACCCTCAGAAGACAGAAATTTTGGATACATATCTACTATTTATATCAAATTCATAACCCCTCCATCCCCACCCGCACCCCCCAAACTCCGGGTCTAGACTGCTTCGCTGGTGAATTCTCAAGGAAGAAACAATAGCAATCTTATCTGGAATCTTCCCAAATCATGTGTTAAGGCCAATGTTATCCCCTAATTCTAAAACCCAGACAAACACAAAACAAGAAAGAACTACAGACTAATATTTCTAATGTTCATAGAAGCAAAATTTCCTAAAAAAAATTTTAGGGAATTTCACCTAGCAATATATAAAAAGGATAATAATCAAAAACAACTGGAGTTGATTTCCAGGAATTTAAGTTTGATTTAAGCAGCCAAGAATCAATCAATATAATTTACCATATTAAGAAAACAAAAACAAAACAAAAAAAGAAGAAACCCCTAACATCCATTCATGATAAAAGTCCCGAACAAACTAAAAATACAAGGGGACTCTTAAACCTGATTATGGGCGTCTACAAAATTCTACAGGTAACATAATAGTCAATGTTTTCTACCTAAGATGAGGAACAAAGAAGGATTTCTGCTTTTACCATTTCAATTCAGTATTATACTGGAGGGTACAGCAGGGTAATAACACAAGAAAAGGGGAAGGCATAGAGATTGGAAAGAGAAGAGAAAAACGGTCTTTATTTACATATAACATGATCTTTTACATGAGTAATCCTATGAAACCTACAAAACAACTATTAATAAGTGAAATTAGGTCACAGACTACAAATTCACTTACAATAGCATAAAAAATATTTAGGGTTAAATTTAATGAAAGATGTGCAAGATCTGTATGCTGAAAACTATAAAGCACTGCAAAGGAAACTTAAAGAAGACCAAAATAAATGGATAATGATACCATGTTCACAGACTGAAAAACTCATTACTGTTAAGATGCCAATTCTTCCCAAATTTATCTACAGATTCGAACAGAAATCTCTGCAGGCCTTTGGAGAGGCAAAGTCAAAGAGAGGTAAAGGACCCGGAATACCCAAACCCATCCTTAAATAGAAGAAGGATATAAGACTTACACTCTCTGATTTCAAGGCTTACTATCTACAGCACACACAACATAGATAAATCTCAAAGACATGTGGAGTGAAAGGAGTCAAACACAAAAGACCATATGCTCTATGATTCAATTTGTATGAAATTCTAGGAAAGGCAGAATTATAGTGACAGAAAACAGATTAATAGGACTGGGGGCTGGAGACTGCAGACTGAGGGCATACAGTAGCACAAATAAAAGTTTCAAGGTGATGGAAATATTCTGTATCTTGATCGGGGTGAAGGTTACATGATTGCATACAATTACCAAAATTCACCAACTGTATACTTAGTGAATTTATTGCATTTAAATGATGCCTTAATAAGGCTATTAAAAATAAAGCAAAAACAAAACCCCCAATATACCATTTTTAAGATACTTAAATATATAGATTACTGATAATTCATTCAGATAGCCCTTAGTTTTCCAATTTACTTAATTTAATAAAAACAACCTGGGATGAATTTAGATGGTCCTTAAGTCAATCAGGAAGGACAGTAACATTTAGATAGTTTTTCCATTTAACCTATGTCAATGAAATGCATCCTGACCCTTATGTACAGATAACTGGAAATACTACACTGCAGATACAGGATTAAACCAGATATAATTGTAAGAAGAACAAACTGTGTCTGAAAAAGAAACAAAAACACTTGAAAATGTAACCCGTTTTATCTTATGTACTGTTACATCACCAAAAGAATATGAATAAACTTTTAATTTTTGTCAAATACTTGCATGTGGTTAAAAAAAATCAA